CATTCTTTCTACTTCTTCCACGCAGCTGCACGGTACGCCGGAATTGGATTCTGATCGTCCCTAGTCTTGAGTCCCTACTCCGTACGGAGTAGGTAGGTCCTAGCTAGGTAGTATTCCGTAGACCAAGTTGACGTTGACCCATCATAACTCGGTGAATTTTGTTTCCGTTGGGGAGGAGGGAAAGAGAAGATCGAATCCATACAAATCAAGAGGAAACAACAAAGAACCACACCGCGGCGAAGTAATAACCTACAGACCCAATCGGAAAGGAATCCATATCCTGAAACAAAGGGAAAATCCTCTCAAAGAGAGCAAATCATCATGAAAAGAACCTGCTAATTAATGATTTTTCTTTTCGCTCCCGTCTTGACCGATATTCGAGTATGTCTCAACGGAGCCGCGGGAAAAAGAAGGTGAAGCAAAAGTGGCCATTTTTTTTTCTCGCTCTCTCGGCGCAAGACGAATCGGAGAGGAATTGGAAAACTCCTGAAAATTCCTGACCCCATCGAAGCTTTCATCTTGCTTGCTCCAACTTCCCATCTCCTGTCTTACCAAGAAACGCAGCTAGCCACCTCCCATTCCGGGTAATCGCCGCTGCGATGACGATGCCCTTCTGGCGGTGAACGACAGCCGTTGACCCAATTGTAGGGCGCGATTCAGATCGGTGGAGAGCGCGTGGGACCTGCTGCGGTTACTTGAGCTCGGTGCTTGAGTAGTCGATGCACGTATTGGCCATAGAGGGCCGGGTAAAAGATCGTTGGATGTGTTGCATTGATAATATTGGTTTTTTTCTTCTTCTCTTGAATCCACAAGGGTTAGTGAAGGGAGCACGGCGATGAAGTTCAGGTCCGCCACTAGAAATGTTAAATGCCCACTCAAGTTGGATCCTTTTTACCTATAACTCAATTTTGAAGCTTCACTATTATTTTTATTTTCCTGCCATTTTATTCTTTAGCTGTTCATAATTATGCCTCTACTTTCCACTGCTAAGTTGCTAACTCACCCCAATTCCAAATAGTGCATAAATCAAAATAATGCGACCTGTAGGTAGTGGGTCCATTGTTCTTGAAGATTGACTTCTCAGACTCATCTGCATGATGTAGTTGTTGCCCAATCTGCATAAAATGATGATCGTACAGAATCAGCCTGCCTTTGGCTCTCGGTCCAGCAGGCGCCACAAGTAGCCACGAGCTTCTTTGAAATCGTGGAGAGAGACCGACCGACAGACAGATAAAAGATCCTCGGGGAGGATTTCTACCTGTCCGTTTGTATGTACGTGGTGTTCATAATTCACCGAGAATCTCTGGCTGTCTGATAGTACTGGTTATTATTATCTTGCAGGTCCAGCCCAGTCAGATATAGAATTGCAGAGGGTGGTGGCAGGGGGGACTTGCTAGTAAATAATTTCCCTTCGGTCTTATTTGCGATCAGCCCCTCTCCTAGATACTACCTACCTACCTAGGTAGTAAGTACTCTTGCTCTATGGTCCATGCCCAGTCCAACCTCATCCCTATCTCGATCCGTACATGGAGCGGTCAAGATCCATCGAAGAGGATAGAAGAAGACAGAGTTTCTCAGCATCCTGTACGTGCTCCATCGGCACCTAGTAGTAGTAATACAGTATCTACACCGTAGGTAGTGGCGGTATGGAGTAGGTATCCGTAGTATTCTTTTTCTTTCTTCTAGTTATCCATCCTGCGGGCCTTGTGTCCCCCCCATCTCAAGGACCAAATTAACATAGTGGGCCCTGCCGATAATGCGATGAAATCTCTCCCTATCGGAATGGATGTGCATTTTCCCCAGAAAGCTAAACAGCGTGTATGTATCTGGGTCGGGTAGAGCCAGTGGGCACGATAAATGTGTCGGTGATGAGGGAATCGCTGTTATTGGCGGGGATCGGCTCGCCCTCCCATGCCATCAGGCACAGACTGACGGTGATCAGATCGCCTGCCGGCCTGGGCTAACAAGGCCGAACGGACACTCGGACACACACACACACACACATTCAGCGGCGAAGGGTGCATGTGGGATGGATGTACGGTGTATGTATGTACCTACAGCTTGCAGGACGAATGTCTCGGTACGGGTCACATGGGCAGGCAGGAGCGCCGTTGCTGACGGACTGACACCTCAGGTTTGATCCTCGCTTTCCCGTGCATTTCCTGTGGCTGGTCTTGGAGAGGGGGGAGGGGGGGGACAGGCCTTCACACCCTCACTTTCTTCTATTTCCCTCTTAGGCTTCGTGTCCATATATGAAAAGGCGAATCTAATTAAAAAAGCTTCGTGTTTGGCTTAGAAACTCTGCCGTCGTACTTTGAAGGGGCAATCAGCTACGGTCATTCATTTCGCTTCATATTGGGTGTCCAAAATTTTGCTTGTCAAAATGCTCACTTCTATCATTAGAAAAACAGGACGACTATCAATCTATTACCGGGATCTGCTACTATCATGCCAGGACTCCCATAGGATCCCACCGTGGCAAAACCTTTGGTGTCTGGTCCAGAACGTCTCGCACCTCTTTGGCAACAAAACGGGAATCGACTACTACCTGATACGTATACTCGTCCATCCACCGGTCGGTCATCACAAACCAGCCCTTGTCGCCGGTGTTTTCGCCCCACGAGTTTTGGACTCGCCATCTCACGGGCTTGTTCTCTTCGATGCGAACGGCCGTCAACACCATCGCATGGGTCATGGACGATTCGCCCGTTTCAAGTCTGCTCGCCTTATCCATACCCAGCGTAACGTTGAACCCCAGTGAGAGATCGAAGAGCTCGGTATCCATCACTCCCGGATTACCATCGTAAAACTTCCCCACGTCACAGCCAAAGAAAACGGGATGGCCCGCCCGAAGCATCGCGATGGCGGCCGATTTCATTGTCTGGGATTGATTAATTTAGGCACGGGTCGAGGAGGCATTAGGGCAGCGGTGCTGTAAGAGCTTACCTCCATGTCGACATTGATGTATCTAATCGGACGTCCCTCCACCACGTTTCCCAGTTTGTCAACCGTCAACAGACGGTTAAACTCGTTGCGAGGATCGTTGACCAAGCTCAGCACTCGGTCGGGGTTGACTTCCGCTCGAGTTAACTGCACCGTGGCCTGGCTGGCGAAGGCTCGCGGGGTTTGACGGATCTCCTGCGACTTTCCATTGGCATCGTAGTATTGCCACACAAACGACTCCTCGGGATTGGGCGGTGGTCCTAGCATGATAGTCACCAAGCTATGGATTTCTTGCAGGAACGCCTCCTTTGTCTCTGCCAGCGTTTCCCGCTCCTTCACGCTCGGGCTCTGCGCCAGTCGCCGGAGCACCAATGCATGCTCGCGCAGTTTCGCCGTGATCAGCCAGTTCATCTTGCTGCTATTTTGGGCGTTGAAGTTATCCGGGTAGATCGCATGCGGCACCAGGCCGTACTTCTGCACCAGGTTGTCCACCATATCCCACTGGCCTCCGTCGGTGACGGGGTCCTGGAGGAGTTTCTGAACTAACCGGCCAGACAGATCCTCGCCGACCGTTTCGATGATCTTTTCCAAGAACCAGTTCGCCTTCTCGATCTTGTCCCAGTAGAACAGGTATGCCTGGCTGAGCTCGAGCTCGCTCACGTTGTATTTCCTCATGAGAGGCACCCGGAAGACGTTGGTCGATGCGAAGAGCCAGCAGCGGCCCGAGGCGCGCTGGTTGGTGATCGGGCCGCCCTCGAGAGGGATCCTGACGTTGAACACCTGGGCATCGGACCTAACGGCCGACTGGTTGGTGAGGATTTGCGAATACGGGCTTTTGGCTAAGCTCGAGATAGCCAGGCGGTTCTGTAACGCTCCCACCGGTTAGCGATAACTCCTCCGTAGACTGAAACAAATAGTACTGGTCAGAGAGATCCGGTACCTTGGGATCCTTCAGCAGGCGGTCTTCCCAGTTCTTGAGCTGGGAGATAGCAAGAACCGTTGTTCGCTCTCGGGCGCTGTAGGGAGGAGCTAGTCATATCAGCACCGATCTTCACCCTATCTCTGCTGCAAATCGACACAAAGCAACGAGAAGGGTGATATACGCGCTTCCTCAATTTCAAGCCACACGTCCACCGTGCTCCCGGACACCAGCTGTCGTAAGGTCATGGCTGCCGTTAAATCACGAGGGTTCTTTTCCTCCTGGGGAGGCTGGGGACTCGAATAGCCTATACCCATCGTTGACTACGGCAAGAAGATGTTGTTGGAGAGAATCTATGGGTGACTAGATGAGATGGTAATTATTGTGTTGCATACCCACAAGGTCCTCAAGGACATCGGGGGTGGGTGCGGGGGAGGGAGAAGTCGGTGAGGAGAGAGCTTAAGGGGGGGCGAGGGTACACTCTCTCCCTCCCTGCGTGATTCTGCGAGGGACCTCCCTCTCTGCTTACTGTACATACTTCGGCTCTTCTCAGGTGATGGCGCGATAGGCACGGTCTCAATAATCAGGCCGTCCATTGCCAGCCCCAGATCCAATATGGTGCCAATTACGGGATCTGCGCCACCCAAATCCTGATGACACTGCTTATCCCCAACCTATTTCGTCACTCGTGTGTAGTTTTATCTAGTTTTGTCTCAGACAGCAAAGCTTCCCCATTCGATGTCGTTGGATAGGTCAAATCCCCCTCCTCTCTCCTCTCCCTACCGAACCGTGTCTCAGATTGTCCTGTACCATGGAAACGGCAGAACGCAGAACCACTTATTTTTAGCACCGCAGCTGCAAAATGCAGACTCGCAGCGCTCAGGAGAAATTCAGGCGTCCATTTACCCCGTAATGCGAGTTACCGATTCACAGCCCATGAATAAATAATTCCGATGCGGTAGAGTCCACAGTTAATTGCCATTATAAATATCAGGGAATTTCCCCTGCATTCACTCATCCGGGGACAGACATCCAAGCTTTAAAAGGATCTGCAAGACATCACCATCTCAATCTCATCTTGTTAACTGCAACCATCTACAGATACAGAACATTATCTATCTACCTGTCTCATCTCAAGATGTTCGATCTCCTGTTCTTGATCTCCCTGGCCATCGGCGCCCTTGCGCAGAATGCTCGCATCGGATTGCCCGAGGCCGCGACTTCCATCACAGCCGGCAGCAAAATTATCGTGCAAGTTCAACGCCCTGTATGTTATCTTCTCTCCTCTTTCTTGCTAGTAATCACCAGTGCTAATGTATACCCATTTGCGAGAACACCTTGACTGGATCCCAGGAGGTCGGCGTCGCCATCGGCCTGCAGTCCTGCGCCAACAGTCCCTGCCATGTTCCCAAGGACGTCATGGGCCGGATCCTGTACAACGGACCCTTCAAGCCTGTTTACCATGAATATTATCTGCCTCCGTACGAGAACTTCACCGTCACTGTGCCTGACTTCGACAACGGCGACGCGGTGCTCGGCGTGGCGCATGTCTCGCTTGTCGGGGTAAGTGATGACAGCGAAATATTGATTTAGGGTGATTTAGTTTGGTTGATATGTTCGAATGCTGATTTTTTTTTGGTTTAGGCTGGACCGTTCCCGTTCTTTGAGGTCTTGAACCAGACTGTTAAGGTGGAGTGATGAGTTTCTTTCTTGTTGGGGATGTTTAGATGGGCATAGGGATTGGGGATGATGATGTGTAAAAAGCTCAATGGGATCTGATGGCTCTGAGGGAAGAGCCGATCTGTTATTCACGTGATAGTATTCAATTGGATTATCTTATGATTTACTCTCCTTTCTCGCAATGACTCTTAACATGCTGGCAGCCGGAACAAACAACATGGTTATATACAAGGCATTGAGGGCAGAGGTTATATATGACTGGGCCATTGCTGCAATTGCACTGAGGATTGACGAGTAATCTCAATGCTCAGTTAATGTCGAGCAAGACTAGACTTACGCAGATGTACATGTATGCACCTGGCTGCAACCAGTCTCGCCGGTTCCTCCGGGCAAGATAGTAAACCGTCGCCTAGACACGGTCAGACACCATACAAAAGAATCTGGTAAGTGTCACTGTTTGGGTCGTAGGTCTTTGCGGCTTACCTCTAAGCTTGGGACGATCCAGTTTCTGAGTGGTTCCGCGACGCAGATGGGGCCATCTGGACCGATAGAGGCATCGGCATCGGCATCGACAAGTGGAGAATAACTCATTGCTAATGATCGTGTGTCGATCTGTCTTTACTAGTTCCTCATTTGGAGAAATGAGAACGAAGAGCGCTAACAATTAATGAGTGAGCCCGTGTTCACAAGCGCGCGGGGTGTCTTTGGTCTTGACGCATTTTATTCGTTGTCGAGAGTGCACTCCTGCTTCTAATGGGTGACATGAGACCTATTCCAACCGGAGGTATATTTCTTTTTCTCCTGTCTATATTAAACTGTATGGAATTCCATCGGAGAGACATTTCCCGATGTGTGGCCCAAAGCAACTACTCGCCCTTTCACTGCGGAGCAAGACGGTCGACATTCTGTAGGCAGCCATAGAGCCTTGACACCATCGATGGCTATCCAGTTCCCTTCTATATGTATGCTGTCTTTAATGGAGGTCTTGACGACGGGACTATTGCTGTGAAAAGACTGGATATGTAAAGGTCCCATATTCGTTTCTAGGACACCGTGATTTGAGAACTCCATGTGAGAAATCGGCCCTTCAACCGAGAGGTCTTCTTCCAAGGCTCCAGTAGTAGGGCTCCAGATTTGGACCGTTTGATCGCTAGAGGCTGAGGTTAGGAGTTGGCCATCCAGCGAAAACGATACCTCTCCGATGGGGTCCAAATGGTCCTTGAGAGTGTGTTGCAGAGTTCCAGTGCTAGTGTCCCAAAGGGTAATCGTAGTGTCCTGAGAGCCGGATGCGAGAAGACAACCGTCCGGTGAGAAAGCAAGAGCAAAAATGAAACTCGAATGCCCCTCTAAAGTCTGTATTAGCTCTCCAGTAGGGACATTCCAGAGTTTGACTTTGCCATCGATAGCGCCAGATGCAAGTAGCTGACCGTCGGGCGAAAAAGCAAGAACACCCACCGTGCCCGAATGATCGATCATAGTCTGGCTGGTATCCTTATGATCGAGAATATTGCTTTGCAAGGCTGTGCCGACGTCCCATAGTTTGGCTGTGCTATCGTATGAACCTGATGCTAGTAGCTTGCTGTCTGGTGATATTTCCACAGCACTGACTGTAAATACGTGGCTCTCTAGTATCCGTCTTAGGGTGCCCATAGTGGTGTCCCAGATTCTAACCTCAGCATCGTGAGAACCGGATGCTAATAATCGACTGTCCGCGAAAAATGACACAGTCCAGACTGAGCTCTGATGGCCATCAAGGGTCTTTTGTGGAGCCCCAGTGACAGTAAGCGTTCGCTTTAAGGTGCCACTTTGTGGGTCCCAGAGCTTGATGGTACTATCATGAGATCCTGATGCCAGCAATTGGCCGTCAGACGAGAGCACAACAGTCCGGACCCTGTTTAAATGGCCTTCCAGGGTCTTTTGCAAGGACCCGGAAGTGATATCCCATAGCTTAATAGTCTTGTCATGGGAGGCTGATGCCAGAAATTGGCCGTTTGGTGAGAAAGCTACAGCCTGAACTGGGTCTGCATGCCCTTCAAAGGTTTGTTTTAGGACTCCAGTGGAAACCTCCCAAAGCTTCACTGTGCAATCGACAGAGCTCGACGCAATGAGTCGGTTGTCTTGTGAGAAATCGGCAGACCAAATCATGTTAGAATGACCATGCAAAGTGTATAGTGGATTACCAGTGGTCGCATCCCAGATTTTAACTGTTCTATCATGGGAGCCCGATACGAGTAGCTGGCCATCCGATGAAAACACCACTGTTAGGACTGAGTCCAAATGACCTTCTTGAGTCAGTTGTAAAGCGCCAGTCATAGTATTCCAGAGCTTGATTTTCATATCACGAGAACATGTGGCGAGTAATTTGCTGTCTGGTGAAAAAGCAACTGCAGCAACCGCGCCGGTATGGCCCTCTTAGGTCTGCAGTTCTGGGCCCAAGAGTCTTTCGAATTTCGGGAGCCTAGATATCCAAGTGGGAATTTCTTTGTTGAATAGACTTCTGACCCTTGCTGTCTCTGGTGCGAATATGAGGCATGACGAGTATAGCTGAAGCGGCGCGAAATCGGCAATATACCTGTTCTTTAGAATTAATCTTTTCATTTCGTAGAGTAACTGCACCGTTTCAGTGTTCTCGTCATTCCAGAAAATAAGTTAATTACATAGAGTCTCGGCAAAGACAATCCATCTGACCCTTTAGCTTACCTGTATCATTGATTGCAGAAGATCGATTTTCGTGAAAACCTCACAAGATTCGTAGAAGACTCATTACCTCTATCCAGTGAAGAAAATGAGCCTTAAAGAATGAAACTGCTTTTAATATTTGATTAGCAGGTTCATGGCATTGTACCAAATACTGGGCCCAGTAACGACATGAGTATCGTAGCTCCAGAGGCAGACACTTGTGAACGTAGTCGATTTCCAACTCGCTGCGCGGTGTACTATAATTACGGAGGTCACATATGTTCCTTCTCAAGCCCTGTTTCATGACCCTGAGGCATTGTGATGCGAGTCTTTCATGTGTTTCTTTCTCATCTATCCAGAATTCGCTTTTACCCTGCTTTCCGACCTCCAAGAGGAAATCTCTGAAAGACAAATGAAGAAGCCTGATAGGTGTCACCGGGTCTCCAGGTACTCTGAGAACTGACTGGAAGCGATCCAACCGATTCCTGATATCATCCTCCTCTATTTCTATTAACAGAGAAAGTGCGCTGGCGGGCAGTGGAGTGAAACCCAGAACAACAGATCCTATTATGTCTTTGAACTCTTGGATCAACTGCTTTACCTCGGATTTGTCTTGTTTGAGCAGGAGTTGATTTAGCAAAGGCATGTATGTGCTGTCCATCTTAGACACATATATTGATTGATCCGTAAGAACTCCCCTAAGCTCTTGCGGGGGTTCCAATTTATGTCGCTAATAAAGCAATATAATGTCGCGGCAGAGATGAACAACGGGTCGGCTCTCTCCGTGAGGATCTTGATGGGCTTTTCCCCGGGCCAATCCGGTGGAAATTCGCGCTCCTGCCTTAGACCGGAGAATTGACTCTCAAAGTAGAGTGCTATGTCGTGCTCGATTACCTTTCTGGGGATATCATGGAGAACCAAGTCTTGATGGCTATCAGCAATTATCCTGAAGCCCAACCGAATCGGTAGCTCGGGCCTGCTTGTCAATAAGAATCGCATTTGTGTTGACGTCAGCTTTCGGACTTGTGGCAGGAGTAGGAGAACAATCTTGATGTCGTTGTCATTAACGCCTTCATCTAGGGCATCAATCACAAGCACAATGGATCTGCTGTAAATTTCTTCTTGGCCCTGTCGTAGGTCAAGCAGCGGCCGAAGAAGTAGGTTTCTGAATTGCTCTCCTAGCATCTTCTCCGACATATTAAAGTCTCTTTGCATTCCCTCTATCTTCTTCGCCTCTTTTGAAGAAGAACCCCCCCCCGAGAAGCTTCAGCCTTTTCAGACTGCTCGCGAAAGTCCGGGAAATTGTCGATTTTCCTGTTCCAGCCATGCCATTCAGCCAGAATATACACGTTCCGTGGGACGACTTTGCCCATTCTTCGATTGTCTGAAGTAATTCAACTCGGGTTCCTGGAAGACATTCGTCGTGGTTGTTTTCGTAGGAATCAAACGCTACACCTTTTGCAATTTGCAATCCGCTCAAGTAGATCTTTTGGTTGATAGTATTGGAGAGTCTTCTATTTCCCGGCTATTCTACAACTTTCAACATGGATTAAAAATAGAACTTACGTTTGGTCAATTTCTATCGCCAGACTAAACAGAGTTTTGTAACCTTCAAAATCATCAACTATGTTGGTGACCTCTGTGCGCTTGAGGGGCCATTTCAGGGCACGGAAGAGCCATTTCTTCGATCGTTGATGTCGTGTCTCTGGATCGATTTTCTCCTTCAACTCAGTGAGTGATCCGCGGCACGCTGTAATGTGGTCGGATAGCTTGTTCATAGTAGTGAGTACCCGGCTGTTTTGATCGTGAAGGAGGTCGTCAAGGCTTTTTAACACTTCCAGGAGAGCCCCAGCGCTCTGTTGCAACTGGATAATATCCTGTTTTGCGCCTTCCACCTTGCTGATATACGTCCCGCAAATCTCTACGATTCCACAAGTGAGTTGGATGACTGCTATGACACTTGCAGCGCCGGACAGTGGGTCCATGGGGGTAGATGAGGGTTGAGGATATTCCAAGATGAGACCATCGAAAAACGACAGCCACAGTGCTTTGCAAGATCAGCACTGCTCCAGCTATATTAGTTCAGAAGCTGAAGGACAGAAAGAGGTGGAAAGAGGGTCTAGGCTGGCGATGGGGCTAGGCATGACGACGCATTCCATTGGTTCTTGAAGCGCCAGTTCAGCGTAGGTAGCAGCACTAATTCCGATGGATTATATCGCTTGATATAATCGGTTTTTTTTTTTTTTTTTTGTATACTTATTGTTTTCAAGCCCACGAGATGACATAAATTTAGACCCGCACTTCCTCAAGCGATCGAGATATCGTCCCACGTGACATTTATGAAGCTATAAGAGTTGATCAGCCGTCAAACGCACCTGATATTATAAAGATCAAAAAGCAGTAGGTTCATATGCTGTCTGATCCAGAGCTATGCCAGAACAATACAACAACAGGATTAACATGAACAGAATTAAGTATTGGACCACGTGTGATTATTCCGATCATAGTGACGAGATCAATCGCGAGATCTACAATCTATCTCAACTACAAGATTGCATGTACACGCCTAACTTCTGGGTATGCCATTAAAACCCATGGCCCGGACGACGAACTACCAGGAGGCTACGTGGCATATATCGTTATGCAGAAAGTCCACGGCGAGTCGCTGCATGACTTCGACAACCGCACTGAGGCGGAGCGGAATCGCATCCGAGTTGCATTTATAGCAGCTTTATGGTGTGTACAGGGAGAAAGAATACCTTTACACCAGAACCTTGCTGATTGCTACAAGGGAATTCTCTTCCCACTATTTTACCCACTGGGACCCACGAAAGGAAAACATTATATGGGAACCCAAAAGTGGCCAATGGTGCGTAACTTATCAAAGTTGCTTTGCTTCCTACTAATTTGGTATAGTTTTATCGTGGACCTCGAAGACGCTGAGCAGCATACAAATTGAACCAAGGACGATGTATACCTTGACGCCTTTGAACAATTAGAGTACAGGGGCCTAATTGAGGGTCATTACGACAGCATACTCTTTTCCCAAAAGAATGAACTGCTAGAAAACTTGAAATATCCGGGTTTATGTGGGCAGTAGAACTGAGGTTTGCGTTCATGACAAAGTTTAGGTGGACATTTTTCCTGCCATGAGAGCTGGTAAAAGAGACATGGATGCCATTCTATTCGGATGCGATATCTCACAGCGCAAAGTCGATTCCACATGATCAAAACTGTGTCAGTGAGAGAGTGTATGCTCTATATCATTGGCAATATCTCTGGGCCTGAATCTACCTGGTCGTTTAAAAAAAGTATTACAAAGTCAAAGTAGGATGAAGAAGGGAAATGGATTCAAAGCGAAGTCCATCGCAACCAAACCGAACCAAATCATTACCTCCCCGCACTTTCCTCCACAATGGCAAAACTTCGCGTTTCACGGATGATACACGTCTCGCTCGACTGACTTCCCTTATCCCACTCATCTTCCCCCACGGAGATCATCGTTCTCGTTCTTGTCTTCTTCATCGGCTCGGGCACGAAATCCAACCCTAGTCCATTTCTTGAGCCCTTCGATCTCAGCCGCGACCGCGAATGTGAATTTGTCGTTCTGTCCCCCTTGCTTGCCCCTGCGCCGGACGAAGTATGCGACTTGGTCCATTCGGCGCCGGAGAGCTTGAACGCGTCGGAGCGGATGCGATCGAGGAAGGGTTTTAATTGACCCCAGCAAGCCGTGACGATGCTGAGCGACTGCGTGATCTGCATACAGATTGTCGAGGGAGCCGACGCGATGAATGGATCCTCAGGAGAGGCTTTATGCGCGAGGATCAGGTGGGTGAGGGACGAGGCGATTACCCTGTTTGGGGGTTAGCATGCGCTAATCATTCTACCTACAGTGCCCTGTGATAGAAGCAAAGGGATCAAGGAATCACAACTTACAGCCCGCGAGGGAGGAATATACTCGCAAACAAGGCCTTCTTCTTGACCGTTGCCTGGATATGCACGATCAAAAGCATGGATTGGACGACGATCAGAAAATCGGTGATCATCGTGGTGATGGTTATAAACGTCGTCCAGGACATCTTTCCAGCAACAAAGCATCAGTTCATATGTCAGATGGTAACTCGAGTGGGCGCATACCGACCTTATCGATGCATTTTCCATGAATATAATCCCATGTTTTTGGGAGCCGACACTCGAATGCGGATCCAAGAAATGTCGCGATTCCAATTGCCACTACCAAGCCCTGGACGACATGTGCGAATCGCCGATCCCGAATAGTAGGAGAAAGACCGCGAATAAAGCTTATCATGGACAGTTTCGAGAACAGTAAACTAAGTGTAAAGAGCAGCATGGCCGCAAATTGAGACTTGCTCATAACCAAACTCAATCAGTTCACATGGTGGTGGCATGCCTAGAGCATAGTTTGCTAGGCTGGCGTGAACATACCTTCATAACAGCGTCTTGTTTTACCCTCGACGTCGCGTCCGTGTGATCGCCATATCCGTTGGCCGTGGCCATGGAGAGCGCAATAGTGTTTCCTATGCAGAATGCCTGGTATGGACATAACGGTGTCAATGACTGTGAACCGAGCAGCTCGAATTCAACGACAATGAAAGAACTCACGAGTGATACAATAATGAGATGATCATCGGTCGTCAATTTTCGAAAGATGAGCCATTTCGTGGTCAGCCGGGCCATCACACACAGGATGGTCGAGCTCATAAGAAACCATGATGTGATGTTGACCGCGGGATTCCAGCTGTCTGGTGCAAATCGGGGCATCCCACCGTTTCAAGAAGACGAGATCATGCAAGAATAATATGAACACAAATGATAGGTGGGACAGTTTTGGGAGAAAGATCCACCATCTCCGGTGTGGTCAGCGCCTTGAATAAAAGGACCATCGCCTCAGCGACTCAATTCCACCGAGGAGAGCGACATTTTTACCCGGCAAGGATCATAAAATGCCACCATGTGTTTTGTCCTTGGCAAGAGGGATCTTTGAGCTTGGCTAACCTCCAACGGTATTCCCTTCTCCGAGCCCGGCTCGGACCTGGGCTAATCGAGGCTACTCGCAGGATGATCAAGGATGCTGCTCCTTTTCGTTTATTTTAGGTCATGGTTCCTATGGGCTACCGCATTTCAAAGCTCGACAGAGGTTTGCCCTTGCAATTTTCGAGGTTTTCTTTGTCAAGAAGGGAATTGGAAACCAAACCACCGATACACATGTGCATGGTGACTAAACCGACAGGTCATCAGCACGACATTTCTTGCGCTCTTACATTAGGAGACTGCTAGTTTCTAGCGACGGTAACGCAGCCGACGCGATATCAGACGTACTATGTATGTACGTGCCGACCAACCTATGAAAAGCGCTCTAGCTCAAGCCATAAAAGCCAACAGGCAATCGCCCGCCTTTCCGAACAGTAACATTCAGCCAGAACAGCCGGATATAGCGCAGAAAAGATAAGCAACCCTTAATCAAAAGTACTGAGTACGCAGTTGGTTAGACCCCACCGATACCTTGGCAAATCCTGAAATAAATTGCGGCACAGGACGCTATGCGCACGACGAACAGGGATCAGTAATTATGGCTTCGGTTGGCACAGGCCACACCATCGATGCACTGAGCATTCTGAAACCTGGGGGAGTTATGCTGCACATGTGTTGGGTCATATACTAACTTGAGTATTACATGGTATTGACGACATCAAAAGACTTCGAGGTGGTTTAGACAGCCTCGAGGCCAAACATCTCAGTACTTCAAAAGTCCCAGAATTGACACTAACGATGCACCGGGCTCACATCCCCTGTCGAGTCAACGTCGCTAGCATTTAGCCATCGGGATGCTCTTCATTCGGTCCGTTTCAATGTAACGCCACCTTGCCAGATAATAGCATGTAGCACGATTATTTAATTTAACCACCCCACAGGGCTGTTATTGAGCAAGCATCTAGCCGAAGTGTTCAACGCACCTCTGCCTGATGGTCGCGCAAACCCCCTGCAAGTCCAGTCAACTATGGCCAATCCCATCGATTCCAGACATTAGCTAGATGTCTACTAATACTTCCGTGCAGCAGCCAGCCGATTAATGTTCCGAGAAAATTCTCTTTTCTCCGTGACTTCTGGAGATCTGGGACAGTTTTTCTTCTCCCCTGAATTCGTCCTTCATTTTCTGCTTTTTCTCATGCTTTCCAGAGGAGCTTACATTTGACATGGCTTCCTATGAACTGAAGAACAGAGCTGCTCAGACCCTCCACGAGGTCGGGCATGCGCAGAACAGCAAGGATCGCGATGATTTAGATCTGGCGCGGGTGGGAAAGAAGTCGGTTTTGAAGGTATTATTTGCGAGCAATCCAATCTTTAGTCCGATCTAAAACTTTCGCAGCGCAACTTCGGTGTTTTGTCAATTCTTGGATTCAGTTGTACTATTATCGCAACATGGGAAGGATTAATGGAGTATGATGGCCCCTGCAGAGAGCGTTAACTAAAAGCTAATCTATGGATAGTACCTTTTTGATTCCTATGGAAAAGTCGGTTTTCTGTCTGCTATTTTTATGTCTATTTGCTGACAGAACCCAGTGGAGGTCCTGCCACCGCAGTTTACGGATACATATTTGCATGGGTTGGCACAGGATGCTGCTTTGTTCTTCTTGCTGAGCTATCCTCAATGTGAGTCCAGGTGACGTTGGTTATATCAGTCAATTCTGACTTCCGCGTTTAGGGCTCCAACGTCTGGTGGCCAGTACCATTGGTGCGCAATGCTCGCACCTCCCAGTTGCATGAAATTCCTCAGTTATATCACAGGTGCAACACCTTTTTCTAGCCAGACTTTCCGTCTGCAGGCTAATGTTTCTCGCTAGGATGGCTTACTGTGATCGGATGGCAATCTGCTTTCGCCTCTACCGCGTTTCTTAGCGGAACCGAAATCCAGGGCGCTGCTATCTTAGCCCATGAGAGGTACAATGCCGAACCCTACCAAGGAACTCTCATCATGTGGGCATCCATTGCTCTTGCTCTAGGAGTCAATCTTGTCGGCGGCAAACTGCTTCCCCGTCTAGAGAATCTCGTTCTTGTTCTCCATATCCTCGGATTTCTAGCCATCCTCATTCCTCTTACGTACATGTCCGACCATAAAACCGCCAAAGAGGTCTTCACCACCTGGACTAACGAAGGCGGCTGGTCGTCAAACGGGATCGTCTTCTTCCTCGGTATGCAAGGTGGAATCTTTGCTTTCGCAGGTGGCGATGCTGCGGTGCACGTACGTTTTCATGGGCCTTTCAGAAGGACGTTGCTTGAATGTCACTAAACTATGATTTCAGATGGCCGAAGAGGTCCAAAACGCATCTGTTACCATCCCTCGAGCTATCATCATGACTATCATGATCAACGGTACCCTTGGTTTTGGCATGCTGATCGCCGTTCTTTTCTGCATGGGCGATCTTGAAGCCGCCATGGAGACTCCCACGGGATACCCCTTCATGCAAATCTTCTACCAAGCCACGAACTCCCTACCGGGCTCTCTGACTATGATATCCATTATGCTGATTATTGGCCTCTGCGCTACCATCGGCATGCTGGCGGCTACATCCCGTCAATTTTGGTCATTTGCGCGAGATCAAGGGATTCCGGGATGGCGACTCTGGAGCAAGGTAGCCTAATCCCATCTAACTGGTCAGCCAAGGATGTAGCTAACAATATGACCAAAATCAACCAGGTCTCTCCCACCTCCTCCATCCCAATCTACTCCGTCATATTCACCATGATCGTCGCCTCCCTCCTCGGCCTCATCAACATCGGCTCCGATGTCGCCCTCAACGACGTCGTCTCCATGGCCGTCTCGGGCCTCTACCTCTCCTACCTCTCTGTCGGCTCTCTTCTGCTCTATCGCCGCGTCACTGGCGCCATCTATAATCACGAATCCGACATTCCCTCCTCCCTCACCTCCCCTACTACGACCGTCAACGTTCCCGGCTCCCCGCTTGTCTGGGGCCCTTTCCGCGTTCCCGGTATCCTAGGTATTGCGGTCAACGTGTTCGCCATCATCTACATGATCATCGTTATCTTCTTCAGCTTCTGGCCCACTGAGGCGGTGGTGGATTATACAACAATGAACTATAGCGTTGTGAGCACATTCGGAACGGTGATCATTGCGGTGATTTACTATTTTATCCGGGCGAAGAACGTGTATCGCGGGCCGATTATCGAGACGATGTAATTTTATCTGCTTGGATTGAATCGAAGGAATGGAGAACGTGAAGATATGCCTCATATATCTCCTTCCTCCTTTTCCCTCTTCATATGTGTTGGAACCATTATTCAGCTGATATGCCTAAGTCATGTGACTCCTTGGCATAGGCAGCTGATATATCTTCAACGAAGCGAGTAGTCTAGAATAACACTTCACTTTTACCCACCGAGCATATACCTATATTCAGTTGAATCGATAGGATATCTGCTTAGGGCAATGACCAAGTCAACCGACAATATGTAAAACAGAGAATATAAGGGGAGGGATAGATGAAGTGGAACTTACCAAAATCGCATTAGTCTTCCTATAAAAAATTACTGACGGATCTGGGTCTTCTGCGTGAATGATACGAAAATCTATTTCGCTGCTACTCGTGCAGCTTGTAGCTTCGTTTCTGAAGAGATAGAAACTACAAGAACATTTCAAATGAAATCTAAAGGGGATCAAGATCCACGAGTGTGAATACACCTGTATATCCCTTTCCTAGCTTAGCTGTAGCCATTATCGGACGATAAATGGTATGAATCCTTGCGCTATCACTCTGTGAATTCTCAAGAATCAGGGTGACTCGGTCACCGCATCCGCTCGTTGAATTCCCTTCATTAGTTAGTGAGGGTGGCTCAGTCATCTAATTCACACCTACCACCTATAGTGAAGCTAATTATATCACCGAGTTCGCATATAGATGAATAAAAATCTACTTCAACCTCGCTTTTATCAACGTCTTATTATTCATCATCCCGGTAGAAGACTCGTGTATAAATAGGATGCTCAATCCCTCCCTCACAGTCTCATTCTTCTTCCTTTCCCACCTTCATCTGACACTATACTACCTTGTGTTGAATGTGATCACTGTTCCTACATCAGACAATAATCCCCAACTCAAAACATTACCCTCCCATCCAATCTTCAGAAACACCTAATAAAGCCTCCTACCGTCAACCTGAACCCTCGATTCTAGATCTCCCAGCCCCGCCCAAACCAACGAGCGGGTCCCGATCAACGCTAAGATTACACCTAAGCGCTGCGGCAGCGGGGCAGTGATTCAAGTCAAACTGACTGGTCGATTTCATTCCGTGGATAGGTATCTGACAAAATTGTCATGAGATTTTAATAGATCCAGAGTATTGGGTTGGAAGAACGAGGTCTGAGTTTACCTATAGCAGGTGTTGCATTCTGCTTGTTAGTTAATGACGTGAATGAGTCACTCATCTACGTGAACGGCGAAGTTACCTAGGTAGCTTAGAGCCTTAGCGGCTGGAATTGCGGCGCAGGAATCTATCCAGAGCGCTTATGATGGTGTTTAGTTGGTTGAACTTGAAGCAGACAGACAGACGGGGATGTGATGTTATGTGACTGCGGTTGGGTCTTCTGGTAGTATAAATATGGCCGAATCTTTTTGATTACTTTCTTTGTCTATGTGGATTTTTCTATGGACCATTATTTCTACCCCCCCCTCTCTCTCTCTCTCTCTCTCTCTCTCTCTCTCTCTCTGTCTGTCTGTCTGTCTGTCCCTCTATCTGTCTACCCGCCTTTACCTCTCTGTCATATCCAGTACGAAGAACTTGCCTAATTACTGCCACTACACCATGAACCTCCAATCCCTCCCCCCTGAGCTCATCCTCTCCATAACAACTCACATCCCAAACACCTCCAACCTGTACGCCCCCCTCTGCCAAGTAAGCCACTACTTCTACAACATAACCATCACCGCCCTCTACCGTGCCAACATCCGCAACGACTACAACAGCGCCCTCCAATGGGCCTCCATCTACAACCTCCCGCACCTAACGCGAGACATGCTCGCGCACGCCGGTTGAATCAACACCATCAGACGACCGCCTATGAAAGAACTCCCCGCGTCGTTCGTGGCGCGATGTCCGAGTTTCGCGCAGGATACAAACGCCAGATTAGTGAGGAAAATTGAAGAGAGTAATTACTCCACGCCGTTGATCTTTGCAGCCGCGGCGGGGTATACAGAGGTTGTGCGCGTGCTGTGTGAGCATCCGGATCGGGAGAATAATATTGATTGGGAAAATGAGAGTGGGTATAATGCGCTCAGCGCGGCTGCGAGAGGCGGGTACACGGATGTCATGGAGTTGCTGGTGGCAGGGGAGCGAAGATGGAGCGGATGACGAAGACGCAGGTGAATATCATTCATGATGCGACGGAGGTAGAACAGCCTGAAGGTCCGTTGCGATTGCTGGTGCAGCATGGGGTGTCTGTGGATAAGAGGATAAATTATTATAGAGACTGGTATGGTGACACGCCGCTGAGCGCTGCGGCGAAGCGAGGGGGGGCTGCGACGGTGGAGGCGCTGCTGAGGCTGGGCGCCGATTTAAGGCTGAGTGAGGAACTGGATCACACGCCGTTGTTTGATGCGATTAGGAATGACAATGTGGATTTGGTGAGTCTGTTGCTGGATAACGGGGGAATTATGATGCCGAGAGGTCGAGAAGAGTGGCCGCCGCTGGAGTGCGCGGCGTATTATGGGAGTATGGAGGTGGCGAACATGTTGCTTGATCGGGGGGCAGATATCAATGCACCAGAGACAGGGAAGCTGCTGCTGAAGTACAAGGCGGACGTTAACACGATGGATAAAGGCAAAGCGTCCAGAAGATTCAAGTCCAAGCCCATTTCGGCACTGGCGTGGGCAGTCTGGTTAGGCCGGGAAGAGATCGCACGGTTATTGATTGATCATGGAGCTGACGTGAATACGATGGGATGGGGGCGACAAGTGATGCCCTTGTTGACGGCGACAATTCTGTATTCGGAAAAGCGACATCTCTATACGAAAATGTTGCTGGACAACGGAGCGGATGCGAACGCACTAGATGACTGGGAATTCGCCATTGTACTCAGCACTCGTGAAAGAATATACAGAAGTCGTGAGGTGGTTGCTGGAACATGGAGCGGACGTGAAACAACGGGATTGGCATGGTGAATTCACCGTTCGTTTTTGCGATTTGACAAAGACTTATCAGAAAACGAGAATATGAGGGAGTGGTAGGGTGCTCGCGTGAACATGCGGTGGAATGAGGAGGGAATGCAGAAGCTTCTGCGGAAATACGGGGGTGAAGTAACTTAACATTGACAAAATCTCCATTGTTCGTGTCTATCATAAGTACACTATCGAAAAAAGCAAAAGAGAAAAAAAATTGAAAAACCAAGTCCCCAAACAATTGAAACACGCTGGATGGGTATCTAGAGATCGTTATTCCCCCAAGCAGGCGTCAGACCCGCTGTCGAATCTACAATTAGAGGCGAATATAATCTTGCTGCTGCGAGAGCTCACTGCCACCGGCTCCCTCGATAAGCTCCTCGGGCTCATCGTCCAGCTCATCCGAGTCAATGTCATCCGAGTCGATCTGATCATACTCTTCTTCCTCACTAGAGGCATCAGACTCGTCCTCATCGATCATGATCTCGGTGCGGTTATTAGCAGTGTTCTTCCGGATCTGTCCAGCTCGATCCACATGGGGCAGCTTGCACCGTTTCTTATTGCAGACGCCGGTATTGGCATAGTCAGGGCATTCGTGCACATGACGCTGGTCGCACTCGGAACCCTTCTCGCAGTAACCCAGGTTTGCAAAGGCTCGACACACAGGCGCGCCAGGAGTCAGCCGGATGTGGGCATACCGACACTCCGGATTGACGCAGCGCCCGCGAAGGAAATGCATACAAGTGGGGGATCGATGGGGCGAAGGCTCATGGGAGAGATCGCAACTTATACCTGCATTGCAATTACCAGTTTGAAGGAAGTCTTTGCACATAGCGACTTTGTTCGGGTCATGGATGTAGAGACAATTCGGTCCCTTGTAGCACGTTCCTAGACAGAGCACGAAAAACCTAGGTCAGTATTGTTCCGGACAAAATTGGTGGAATTAGTGTTAGGATGGAAAGGGTGTAAGTCTAAGGCGCGTCAGAGGGAAAGCATTGGTACCCGTCGTAGAAAATCGGCTGCAAAGTTCATTTTTCCTAACCATCGTTGGCTTCCTATAGTACGGTGAGCTTGTATTGCAGTGTACGTTCCATAATAATCGAGTGTCACCTTTTCGAAGTCACCGCGCCAAGACGATGAAGGTTTCCATTCTTGCTGCGGACGAACGTCACGCCAGCCACCGTGACTCGCTTGGGCGTATTGTTGGCCGTATTGGGATCACCTATCGACGGTAAGTCAGCCCCCTGGGGCAGCGGGGCACACGGGGAAGTCGCACCAGAGACTCGAATCAACTTGCCGCCACCACGCGACACTCGGAACGGGATATCGTTGAGATAGACCTGGTACTCGGCCATCGGCTCAGTAGTTGCCGATGCCTTGGGAACCGCAGGAGGTGGATGCTGTCTTCCAACCCCCTGCGCATACCTCAGCACCTTGGCCTGTTCGATCTGAGCCTTCTTGTGGGCTTTGGCTTTCCGACTCTCTTCCATAGCCTTTGCCCTGGTCTGCGCCTCCTTGTCGTAGATAGCCGAGTTGATCAGCTGCATGTGGCGGTCATGTTTGGCGACCCATCCATTCGGCGTGTTTGATCGAGTGTCGCCATCGTTGTCGGATGCAGCGCCAACGGAAGGGGTCGAGCTAGCAGGCGTTCCCGACGTGGCGTTGTTGAGGATGAGAGTACGGTGTCGGTGGGGAGCTCCGCCGCGTCCTCGTCCGTAGGGTCGGCCTCGATAGGGTGCCCATCCCGGTCGTCCACGGGAGGACGCGTGTCGCGATACGTATGGGCCGGAGTGAGATTCCTGACCGTAAGGGGCGGGCGATTGGGACTGCGTCTTGTGTCGATTGATCTGACCTGAGAGGGGATTAGCCGCCGGCGGGGTCTTCGTGGAGTGACATGGCAGGCATACCAGCAAGCTGGCTGATCTTGGCCATCAGATCCTGGTCTTCAGACATGTTGGGAAAATGTGAAAGGAAAGTTAGCTATTGGCATGGGCCACAAGGCGTTTACGGTCGGGTTGGGATGAAAGATGCGCGAGGTTGTTGTGATTAGTTAACTAACTACTGTGACGACGGGAATCGCAGGGCGGTGAGATCATACATCACGTGCCTTGCGGTGACTCCAATTGTTCCGATTGTGCAGGAGGCAAGCATTCGTTTGACGGGAAAATTCCGATGAAAGAAAAGCAGATGAAGTAGATTCGATTGCTATGGACATGTACGGGTTATTTCAGCTATCTAAACCTACAGAAGACTCCAGATGCGCCCTGTATAATTGCAACCCAAAAAATACCTCAAGAGCAAGACGCCAAGACCGTGCTGGTTATATGCTACATAGATTTTTTTTCAACATGTTCAGTGAACATTCTGGAACTGTGTATCGTCATTATCCATGTCATCCTCATCGGATGCCTCGTCATTGTAATTCGCGGGAGCAAGCTCCTCTTTGGGTTCATATCCCCACGCGCTTGCATAACTGCTTTCTTTCGCTTCCGGCTTGAGCTCCCAGGTCATGGCGAAATCTCCGGATTTCACCAAGTGAGCGGTCAATTCCAGAGTCTGCTTGAGATACGCTTCAGGCTGTTGTAGTCTCGCCTTAAGAGCCTTAAACGGCCAGTACCGGAATTCTCGGAAACACTGGTAGATAAGATCCAGCAGTTCGTTTTGAGGCATACGCGTAGTCTTGTTTTCTTGCGGCTTGAGTTTGGTAGGCTTGGCCGCTTGCTGGTAGGGCATTAGTGATGAACGCAGAAAGAGCCTGTGCCAGAATGGGGGGGAAGATGGCACTTACCACGAACGAGCCCTTGTCGGAAGGCAAGGCATGTCTGGCCTGGTGTAGTTGTCCCGGAGCGCCTTCGATGAAAGTAATTTCACGCTTCGGCTTCAAAGCTTCCAGAGCTCTCTTTGCAGAAATTTCCTCAAACTCTTCATTCTCGACCGGGAGACAGTTGAACTCTTCTTTAATACCGCCCACCAAGCTGGTTTGTTCTGTGGCCGAGTCAGCACCCCCGCGCCTCCATTTCTCAACGGAATGGACACATACTATTGATCGTCTTCCGAACATAAGGCTCCCATTTCTTCTTTCGCTCCTTTTTCCGAGCGTCGCGCTTGACGGATTCATACAGCGCTGACCGCGCCCCACCGAAGGTGACCGTACGATTCTCCTGGCCGGGGATCTCCTTCTCGGTGAAAACATAGGTATTCTTCGTTGAATGCACCGAACTTCCCTCGTCGAGAGTGTGTCGTTGCAAGAGGTAGTCTTTCGGGACGTCTTTGTTATCCTCGCGGTCGTTGAGGCGCAAACTAACCTGCAAGGCGACTCGTTAGCCCTATACTGTGCAACCACGTGAGAACAACTGTAAACCAAACAATAAACACACCCGCTTTATATCATTTGGCGGGCCCTCCACCCGGATCGTCCCAATCTGAATCTCCTCGTCATCGTCGAGGCTCGCCCAATGCTCCCACAGCGGCCGCGGGATGCGCGACATCCACACGTTCTGCGTCGCGTTCGAAAAATCTAAGTCGCCGTCGTCATCGTATATGTCCTCGTCGTCGATGTCGGCGAGTACGGTATCCTTGTCGTCCGGGTCGGCTTTGATGTATGGTGTCGAGGCATCGGGGTCCTGTTTAATCGGAGGGCCCATAGTGACCAACCAACAAAAAAACAAGGCCAAAAAGATCTAAAACTGGGACGGTATGATGGTACCAGACCACGCGATCAAACTGAGGGTGAAAAGAAAGTTGCAAGCAAAAGATCGACAGCCTATTCGACGGGCAAGGAGGATGTTGAGTGACGTGATGATTGAAGCTCTTCACTTGCATCCGTTCCGCTACTTGCAAGCACCCTACCCACTGGCGCTAATGAATGGGGAAGGCGGTGGCGGTCCTTTGTCCGCTGGGAGTTTCCCGAACAAAGACAGTCACAGTCACCATTGAAGAGAAGAGGCGTTCTCCAGTAACTGGTAGGATGAGTAGGAGAGCATGGAATAGAGGGCAATGACTCAGTTTGAACTCAGTTTTCCTCGCTCATTTATTCCATTTCATAGCTTTTCATTTGTCAGACATAGAACTTTCGTTCCCTTGCCTATTGAGTCAAGTACCACTTTATCGCTGAATAGCAGCGCTAAATCATCTATTGTTCTCGCTAGTAGATAATTAATGAGCGAAATTGATTGATAAAGTAATTAATGCAAGCAGGGATGGGGTAAATAGGAAACAATAGAATAATGTTAAAATTAAGGCCAAGCAGATGCAAACAATGTTCAGCCTCTCCTTATCGATAAGCCCAGCTTCACTTTGTCGGCTGCCCGCAGTCCCTCCAGCCTTCACTTCCCTTCATCCAACTCACAAACAACCCCAGCAGACTGTTACTCATGAAGACCTGATAATACCTTCCACTTTCTCAACCAGAACTCCCAATATAATCAGTCAATAACCCCCCTGATGGCTTCACAAAAAATCACCTCCGCCCTCGCGGAGATCGAAGCCTCCGCCAATCCTCAAAACAAACTACAGCTCTACAGCGACCTCCTCTCCGACGTGGTATCGACATCGACATCCGACCAGCTCGCCCAAGACCTGATCTTCTACCTTGACTCCGTCCTCAGCGAAGACATCAGCATCGTCTCCGCCCGCCCCATCCTCGACTCCTTCATCGCCGTCCTCCGAAAACTCGACCCGTACACCCAGATCAAAGTGGGCCAGCACGCCGTCACCCTCCTTCAATCCCGCTCCACCTCCGTCGAAGAGCAGGACTCGCAGATCCGCGAGCTCCTCGCCGACGCCTACGAGTCGCAGGAGGAATACATCGCCGCCGCGCGAGCCCTGCAGGGCATCCACATCGACAGTTCGCAGCGACTCGTCTCCGACGCCGCCAAGGTGCGGCTATGGGTTCGCATTGTGCGACTCTACCTGGAGGAGGATGACACCACGACCGCGGAGGCGTTCCTGAACCGCATCAAGAACCTACCCAGCAAGATCGAGGACCACGAGCTGAAACTACACTTCAAGCTCTCACAGGCACGGATCCTAGACGCGCGCCGCAGATTCCTCGACGCCAGCCAGGAGTACTTCAACGTCAGTCTGGCCGCGGGAGTTGACGAGAGCGACCGTCTCCATGCCCTGGCAGCAGCCATCCGCTGCGCTGTCCTCGGTCCCGCGGGCCCCCGGCGCTCGCGCATCTTAGCCACGCTGTACAAAGACGACCGCGCGACGTCCGTCGAGGAGTTTGGCATCCTAGAGAAGATGTTCCTCGATCGGCTCTTGAACCCCGCCGAGGTGGCAGCCTTCTCGGAACGTCTGGCGCCGCATCAGCTCGCACAAACCGCCGACGGTACCACCGTCCTCGACAAGGCGGTCGTGGAACATAACCTCGTGGCGGCTAGCAAGCTGTACGAGAACATCACGACCGACGCGCTCGGCGCCATCCTGGGCCTCGAGGGCAGCGGGGACCTGACGGCCGGCGAAAAGGCCGAGGCGTACGCGGCACGCATGGTGGAACAGGGTCGGTTGAGCGGCAGCATCGACCAAATCGACGGCGTCATCTACTTCCAATCCACCACTGGTGCGACGGGACAGCATATCCGGCAGTGGGATGCGGGCGTGCAGGGACTTGCGGAGGACGTAGAACGGGTCGCGACGAGTATCACGGATGCTTTCCCAGAATTTGCCGCGGTGCATTGAGAGGATTGGAATGTGTGAATATGTTTTAACGAAGAATGAATTATTTCAGCTATAGCGATATTTCTTACATTTTTTTTTTTTTCTTTTTTCTTCAATCTTTCCAATAAGAGAAGTCTAATGCGAAATCATCAAAAATTATGAATTCATGGATTACTTTGGGGACATCACTCTATACCTATAAGTACAGTACAGTACATACACTTGACGCTATGCAAATGCAAAATGACACATGTCCACCCAGTCACAGCACATCACAAACAGGGCATATAAATAATAAATGGGGGTATTTTCTTGGTTGAGAAATGAAAAAAAAAAAAATATAGGGGAAGCAAGTAGGGTAAACGAACGATAGTAGGAGAGGTGGAAGGCTTCGGAGTCATTGAGGATGACTCCATCTGATGAGAAAAGGTAAAGGGTATATGATAAAATCAAACGATCACAGGAGAGAAAAACAAAAACATCCTCTCATGGGGAAAGCCGAAATAAAGCAGGGCATATTGTGCATTCGTAAAAATCATGACAAAAAGGAAAAGAAAAGAAAAGAAAGAACAGAAATCCAAAAACAGCGAAACTTACAGCGTGTTTCTGAATCAACGCTGCGATATCATCGAAGCCGTATCTTGCTTGATATCGATCTCCGTGCGGACCTGAATATCCATCGGACCGAGGTACCGATTACTCTCAGGGTCCTGGACATTCGTGGCACTCGTGGCCCGCGAGACGTCGTCCATCTTGTAGTACTCCGACGCAGGAGACTTGGGACTAGACACGACGAAATGCGAGGTCGTGATATCGGTATTGATATAGTACGGAGCGGTAGCGTACTTGCGACTTCCGGGGATCTTGAAGCGCGGGAACAGGCCTCTCGCGATGGGCAGACACGAACAGATCAGCCCGATAGAGGGCTCGATGTGCGTCCACAGCGTGGCCTGGTAGACGGTATACGTGGTGTCGTAGGGCTTGATCCAGAAGAGGACGACGATGCGGTAGATACTGGCGAAGCAGACGAAGGCGCCGAGCGCGAAGACGCCGTTCAGCGCGAGCTTGTCCTGCCAGGCGCGCTGCAGGTTCCAGATCATGGGCACGGGGAGGGCCAGGATGACAAAGTCGATGAGGACGTTGAAGACTTGGTTCACGATGAAGAACTTGTTCTGGTCGAAGCAGTGGCCGTCGATGCTCTTGTCCCAGTAGCCGCGAAGGGGGCGGCATTGGAGGGCGCAGGCGAGGAAGATCCCCGTGCCCCAGAGGCCGATCAGGGTGTTCAGACCGAGGGTCGTCCATTGGAAGGGTCGCATGGTGAAGATACGGCGGTAGAAGCAGATGATGGAGATTTTGATGGCGGGGCAGAGAACGAAGTAGGTGAATTGGTTGGCGAGGAAGATCTGGAAGGGGTGGGTTTTGTGTTAGTTGGCTTGCCCTTCTTCGAGTCTGGGATGTTTCTCTTTCTCACCTTGGAGAAGTTCTCAAGGGTCTTTGTATCTAGATCGTCCATGTGTGCACCATTGCCTCCGATTGTCACCCCTACAGTGGATGGTTAGTGGCTGTGTCATGAAATTGATGGGAATTGGGGATACGCACATAGAACCAGCTCAATCAACATGGCCAGGAGAAGACCCATGGAGAGAAAGCAGAGATAGTCGTCAATCCCGAACTTGACTCTTCGTTTAATTCGTGCAATTACACGCATCATCACCGTGATTAAGGAGACGCCCACCAGCACCGAGACGATGGCGATCATCTCACGTCCTCGAGACGTGACCGTCATGGTGAATGTAGAAAGGAGCGACTGGTTTGAGAGAAGGAATGAAATCACAAGAATCGAGAAGGGCCAAGAACGACCATATACCCCGGATCGAAATCCTGCAGCGAGTAATTAAATAGGGCAACAGGATGCCTCTCCACTGTAGTGGAGGGATTGGGGGTGAATATCGATAGTCTAGATAGCAAGTGGACTCCAGGGCAACGCCCGATATACGTCTACGGTATATGACGGACTGGAGGAAGATAAGAATCTTGGAGAGGGGAGAAAAGGGCAGAGGGGCAGATGGAACCCGAATTGAATATGTACCGGACGAAGTGCACATCCCACCGAGCAAAGTGCAAACCGCCTTCCAAATCCCTAGTTTGAAATCCCACTATGGTCTACTAGATTACAAGGATGGGAGGAAAATCCAGCGGGGCCAGCGACTGGGTCCTCCAGACTCAAGGCACAAGCGCCTCCAGGAAATGCCGGTGTCGACGAGTTGCAGCTGAAAAGACTCAAGACTCAAGAGACTAAGAGACTAAGAGTAAGAGCCCAATTGTACCACGAGTCCACGACGCACGCCCGGTGGAGACAAGCAGATCAGCAGAATGACATAACAATGGCCAGGACGGCGTGGCCACGATCTGATTTGGAATGACAACCCGAGTCTAAGATAAAAAATTGAAGTATCAGGCGAATAGATTGACCCAACCCTAAGGTCCCAGTTGCGGCGACGATCACAATGGTGTCAAAACAGTCTCAACCCTTGGGTCGACGGTTTGGCAACTAAGCCTCTAGCGTGGACGATTATGACGCCTGCACCCATGGCGAGGGCAGCAGGACCAATTCAAAATTCACGCAATCCATAATCCTCCGTATTATCCATCGATGTTCTACGATATATACCCCGAAAGAGAGGAAACTGATCAATCCGTGGTCGTGGTAAGAATAGACTTCGCTGTAAGCGAACCTGGAGGCGGATCCACGCCCGGTGGAGGATTTTGAATCTATCCTAGACACGATCATCTGGATGGATATTCCCCAGGCGTCGCGAACCTTGGATCTGAGTCGATAACGCGATTTCGTTGCGCGGCCTCTCCCCGTTCCCAGTATTCTGCGACGACCGGAGTTATGGAAGACACGAACCGGGGGAAATAATCATAAAAAAAAAAAAAAAAATTAACAATATTCAACTCACAAGTAAAAGAAACAAAGAAAAAAGGGTTCTCATCCTGCACCTAATAACCTAATAGGTAAGAGACTACAGGCTAAAGCCCTGGGGATCTGCGGCTGAATCAATAGCGCCGAGCCATTAAGCCCATCCCATGTGGTCGTAAGCGAAGGGGTTCTTCAGCTGCTCGTCGCCGCGTTGTACCCGCTGTCACGGATCCTTTTCGGGGCTCTCATTGGCCTCGTTGGTGGTTTTTCTTTTCTTTGATTGATCATTCTCTCCCTGGCTTCTCGTCGTGCGTCTCCAGTCGGTCCCCACCCGGTGGAGCCCGTTTATGATCGTGACATTATTATTGAATAACTGCCGTCCTCACCCTCGACCTTCTCCATCACGCCCGAATGGATCCCCCCTCGCCTTGGAGCCATTTTGGCTATTGGTGCATGAACCACGGCAGGATGTTGACGATCATCGCCCAGCCTACCCGAATCATTCGAACGTCCAAGAGGCCCGGGAGTTATGGGCAGTTGGCCAACTCTGCCATGTGCCAGTTTCAATCCTTCGAGGTCCTTGACCCCTTGTCACCTCCCACATGGTTAATGATAGACGCTGCCAGCAAAAACTATCATTCCAATAGCGGCAAAGGTCAACGTTCACGAATCCCCGGACCGATTGATAGGCGTCAGGCCTGACTCGTCGGGATCACCGCTCAGTGCCTACCATGGTTGCGTCCCTGACATTCGTCTCGTTGACAACTCCACCTCGGGGTCACACCGTCAGGGGTGGTTGAATCTTTATTATTGGACCCTCAAGGTTCTGTCTGAGTCTGATGGCAGAGAGTAAAGTTTTCCCCCTGCATTTAGGGTCCCCGTAAGCCACGAGGTAGGGCGTTAATTGAGTTCTAACTCGGCAAACTGACGCCAACTGTCATTGTCATGTCACCTTTGTCATTGCAGGCCAAGTCCAGCCATGAATGTTTATCTCATCAGTCGGACTCGCGCGACTTGTCGGTGGGGTGATGGTCGTATTGGTTGGAGCTTTTCGTAGTTGGAGTAGCACAAGAAAATCCCCCTCAGGGATCATCTTTCCTATCAGATAAACAAGGTGGTCCCCAACTTGCCCCCCTTTATTTCAAAGAGTATATCCGTAATTCCATGATTCTATCACGTGTAGCAAGACAAGAAAGGCATTGTTCGACTTGCTTTCGGTGATCTTCAGAATCCTTTTTTGACTCAAGTGGAGCAACTACATCCTGCGCGCCCTCCTAACGACTCCTACCTAACCTCCCAAGGCTGCCTCTATGCTCCTGGTTGTATCCCCCCTCGGATCCAATCACACTTGAAACGGTCCCATTTTCCCACTCGATATATACCTATCGCAACGCCCTGTGAATCCCAATTTTTTTCCTGATCTTCTTTCTCTCCCTCCGTTCGGCCATATTCCTGTTTTCCAATCCACCATGACTATTCGCTTTCAGGACGGGACTAGCAGCACTCCTGACGTGATACCGTTGATTATCAACGGCAAGGAAGAGATCCCAGACTCAACCTTCGATGTCATCAGCCCGTATACCAACGAACGGTGCTGGGCCACGGCCTCAGCGTCTCCCCAAGATGCCATCCGCGCCGTCGAGGCCGCCGACGCCGCATTCCCCGCGTGGTCCCAGACCAAGCCCACGGTGCGGCGCGACATCCTGCTGAAGGCAGCGGACATCTTGGAAAATCGACTGGCGCAGAACGCCGAGTTCATGCGGACCGAAATGGGTGCCGATGTGGGCGCCTCGCAGTTCTTCATTGTGCCGCTCGGGATCCGCATGCTGAGGGACATCGCGGGGCGTATCACTTCCATTTGCGGTAGTGTCCCCGTGGTAGAGGAGGAGGGCCAAAGCGCCATTGTGTACAAAGAGCCCATGGGTGTGATTTTGGGCTTGGTGCCTTGGTACGTCGAGGGAAGGTCTTCGGCGTCGCCGGTTGTCGCGGCTCACCGACTTAATGGCGCAAGCGTTGTCCCCCTACCTTTGTTCTGGGCTAACGATTCTGTCCGGCTAGGAATGCACCATATGTGTTTGGTGTCCGCTCGGCGGCCTGTGCCCTTGCGGCTGGCAACACGACCATCCTGAAATCTTCTGAGTTGTCCCCTTGCTCGTACTGGGCTCTGACTCGGGCATTCGAAGATGCCGGATTACCGGCCGGGTGTTTTAACCTGGTGTCGTGTCGACCCCAGGATGCTCCCGATGTGGTCAACGCCATGATTGAGCATCCCGCCGTGCGCAAGGTCAACTTCACCGGAAGTACGGCCGTGGGCAGGAAAATTGCCGGGTCCTGCGGACAGAACCTCAAGCCCTGTCTGATGGAGCTGGGAGGCAAGAACAGTTCGATTGTCTGTGCCGACGCCAACATCGACACGGCCGTGAAGGGCGTCCTGGCAGGAGCATACTTGAACGTGCGTTCCCCCTTTCTCCCTCGCCTTAAACTATTCTTTTTGCATGAGTTGGTCATTCCAGCGTTCTAACATGTCATCCAGTCCGGTCAAATCTGCATGGCCACCGACCGCATCCTCGTCCACTCCTCTATCGCACCAACATTCATAGAGGCCCTGAAGACAGCACTGAACTCGAACCTGGACTCTTCATCACCACCTCCGACCCTGGTCAACGTGGCCTCCAAGGCCCGCATAGATCGCCTCGTCACTGACGCCCTCGCCAACGGCGCCCACTTAGTTCACGGCACCGCTCCGGGAACGGAGGACGCACCACAGCACCCAGGCGTCCGACTTGCGCCGTTACTCCTCGGCGGCGTCAAAGAGGAGATGAACGTGTGGCAGGAGGAGGCGTTTGCGTCGCTGGCCGCGTGCATGGTGGTCGACAGCGACGAGGAAGCTATTCGAATCGCCAATAGCAGCGGGTATGGACTGTCGTCGGCGATCTTCACCGAGGATTTGCGGAAGGGGTTGGCGATGGCTAAAAAGATTCAATCTGGGTGAGTTAGATATCCCTTTTTAAGAGCGAGGAACTGAGGCTAATCGGTATCCAGCGCCGTCCACATAAACAGCATGACCATCCACGACGAACCCGTCCTGCCTCACGGGGGCGTCAAGAACAGCGGCTGGGGCCGGTTCAACACGGCGCAGGGACTCGACGAGTTCCTGGTGACCAAGAGCGTGACGTGGATGGATTAGTTGATTGATGAATGCATAGATTTATGATGTTTCAATGAACTTGTTAGATGTCTGGCCTATTCTGTATATATTTAATAATAGAATTGTGTTTCAACTTTCACTCTTCTGCAGTAGCAGCGAAACGACATTCAAGTCAGTAGGTAGCTATCAGGTAGATAGGTGGTAAAGTATGCTTTACTCAAATCGAACCTATATCAGGACACAATTATTCCACCAGCACGACCCATCCACCCCTTACTGAGTACGTGCACACCAATGACACCACACCACGCCCATCATCCCCTAATTATTCCCAAGATCTCATCTCGATCCAAAACCCCCCGAACCGCCAGGGCCACTCGCGCCATTATTCCAGCCTTCGCTCGGGGTAAAAACCCCCCGAGAGCGAGCTGGCACTCGGTAGACGCTTGTCCGGTAACCGGGGATGGTATTGGATACGGGCGTGACGAGGAGATACGGTGTCTTGTTTGGCCTGGTAGCACTAAGGTATCTAATAGATGACAGGTAGGTAGGGATACTAAGAATGAAGTGTGAATAAACTCATCTCCAACTCTTTCTTGACCCGACAGCTTAAGCTCAGCTCAGCTCATCCCCGCCGTGCGTGCATGGTCGGCTACCTACTGACTTCCAGTGTCCTGAAATGGTAAGTTCATTTTCCGATGAGAAGCTGGTCGGCATCTGAGGCGTTGGTCTGATTGGTGGAAGAACTATGACGTCAGAGACATTAAGGGCAGCATTCCGCTGCCGATGACCACACGTGATCAATTACCGATGGACTGGTCTTTGTCTCTTTGAGGGATGTGACGGCGTTGATACCGACGGGACTCTTTACTCCTTTAGTCGTCTATCTTTGGCTTACGATGTACGGGGCAGGGGGGTTGAGAAGGGATGTTCTAGGGAATATATACTTACACGTCCGATGGTCTGATGGTTGATTCTTGAGTGGATGACATAAACAGGCTGGTGATTGGATTGCTCTCGGACCGAGGTTCAAGTCTGGGCCATGGCTGGCAGTGGCAGTGGCAGTAATAGTAATACTGGCATTGTCCGAGTGTGCTGTTAGGTTACAGGTTGCTGAGACTGATATTCTGTCGAGTTGAGCAATGGGTATATATATGACTCCATTTGCAGTTCCAGATGAATAGCTATGTCTGAATATTTTGATCAATGTCTGGGGTAGAACCCATTTTTGAGACTACTGAGCACAAGAATCCGGGCAGCAATGAGCGCGTTCGGAATAATCAGCTGAAAGGGGAGCATGACGTGCCGCTGACTTACGCCCGCCTCCCCATTTGCTGTCGACATGTGAAAAGTGCCACCGATGGACTGTCCGGGTAAGGACATGTGAAAGATAAAAGACTCTCTGGAAGACTGGAAGACTGAAAGACTCGACGGTGCGTTAAAGTTGTGCGTATGGAGCCCGTCTCCAGTCTGGACGACAAACCAGCGTGCGTTGAATACACCTTTACTCACCACGACGTTATTAGATAATAAAGAGTAAAGAAACCCGTGGTACCGGTAATACCTGGTATGCTGTGATTCTCTCTCGGTGGGAAAGCCGAAGATGAAGGGAGGAAGACTCTCGTACGGTACTTTTACGCAGACGATGAGCCTCGGCCGATAGAAGTGCGGTCGCGTCGGCTTCTGAACATCTCCCCCGGATCCTGGTCTGCTTTCTTGCGCCTTTAAGACCGCCCTTGCTCGTTCCTTTCTCTCTCTTTCTCCTTTTCCAGAATCCTCTCCTGCTCCTATTTCCCCTTCCGATCCGACCTCCTCTTCACTTCTTTCATACACCATGGCCACCCCTCCTAGAGTGATCGTTGTCGGCGGTGGATGTACGGACTCCCTCTCCAAGCTTTCCCCGCATTTGCTGACCATTACCTCGTCTCTCAGTGTCCGGTCTCAGCGCCGCCCACACCGTCTACCTGAATGGCGGCAACGTCTTGGTTCTAGATAAACAGGGTATGTCGATCTTCTTCCCCTAACCACATCCAAATCATATCTAGGAATCATCACTAACCCGGCTAGCCTTCTTCGGTGGCAACTCGACCAAGGCCACCTCGGGTATCAACGGTGCCCTGACTCGCACCCAGGTCGACCTGAACATCGCCGACAGCGTCAAGACTTTCTACGAAGATACCCTCAAATCCGCCCGAGACAAGGCCCGTCCGGAGCTGATCAAGGTCCTCACCTACAAGTCCGCCGCCGCCGTCGAATGGTTGCAGGATGTCTTCAACCTCGATTTGACTCTCGTTTCTCGTCTGGGGTGAGTTCGCCACGAGCTGATTCTTTCATGTCCTTGCGACCGGACGGTATACTGACTCCACCAGTGGTCACTCCCAGCCCCGTACGCATCGTGGCCACGATGCCAAGTTCCCCGGAATGGCCATCACCTACGCCCTGATGCAGCGCTTAGAAGAGCTCAGCGAGCAGGACCCCACCCGCGTGCAGATCGTCAAGAAGGCCCGCGTGACGTCTATCAACAAGTCCGGTAACCACGTGACCGGTGTGACCTACGAATACAACGGCGAGAGTACGAGCGCCGAGGGTGTCGTCGTGCTCGCGACCGGTGGTTATGCCGCAGACTTTGGCGACGGATCGCTGCTGAAGCAGCACCGTCCCGACACCTTCGGCCTCTCCAGCACCAACGGCACCCACGCCACCGGTGACGGGCAGAAGATGCTGATGGACATCGGTGCCAACGGCATCGACATGGACAAGGTCCAGGTGCATCCCACGGGTCTGGTCGACCCCAAGGACCCCGAGGCCAAGTTCAAGTTCCTTGCCGCCGAGGCGCTCCGTGGCGAGGGTGGTCTGCTGCTCAACTCGGACGGTCAGCGGTTCTCCGACGAGCTGGGCCACCGTGACTACGTCTCGGGCCAGATGTGGAAGGAGAAGGAGAAGGGCAAGTGGCCCATCCGTCTGGTGCTCAACAGCAAGGCCTCCAACGTCCTGGACTTCCACACGCGCCACTACTCTGGCCGTGGCCTGATGAAGAAGATCAGCGGCAAGGAGCTGGCCCAGGAGATCGGCTGCGGCGAGGCCGCGCTGCAGAAGACCTTCGACGAGTACAACCTCATCGCCGACGGCAAGAAGAAGGACCCCTGGAACAAGCGCTTCTTCCACAATATGCCCTTCAACGTCGACGACACCTTCCACGTCGCCGTCATGGAGCCCGTCCTCCACTTCACCATGGGCGGTATCGAGATCAACGAGCACGCCCAGGTCCTCAACTCCGAGCAGAAGCCCTTCGACGGCCTATACGCCTGTGGTGAGCTGGCAGGCGGTGTCCACGGCGCCAACCGTCTCGGCGGTTCCTCGCTGCTCGGCTGCGTCGTCTACGGCCGCGTCGCCGGCGACAGCGCCAGCGAGCATCTCTTCCAGAAGCTGATCTCCGGCGGCGCCACGACCGCGCAGAGCCGTCTCGGCCAGATCTCCCTGCACATCGACCCCAACACCCCCGGCAAGATCTCTGTCGAGTGGGGTAGTAGCGGCGCTGGTGGCTCCGGCTCCCAGGCTGCTCTGCCCACGCCCGCCGGCGCCACCCTCGACGCCAAAGCCGCGGCCACGCCCGCCGGCGCCGCCGAGACAGCCAAGCCCACGGACCCTAAGAAGTTTGAGGTCCCTGCCACCGAATACTCCATGGAGGAGATCGCTAAGCATAACAAAAAGGATGACCTCTGGATCGTCGTGAAGGGCGTTGTCCTCGACGTGACCAACTGGCTCGACGAGCATCCCGGTGGCGCCAATGCCCTGTTTAACTTCATGGGCCGGGATGCCACGGAAGGTATGTCTACCGCCTCCTAATGAATCGACATGTCCATGCTAATGTGATTTGAATAGAATTCGCCATGCTCCACGACGACGAAGTCATCCCCAAATACGCGGGACATATCGTGATCGGTCGCGTCAAGGGTCAGACCCCCGAACTAGAACTCTAGATTGTTTGGAATAGAAAACCCACTCACCACCACACCCACTCACGCTCACAAAACACTACCTTACCTACGGTACCTACTTGACGCAGCCATTTGATACATACCCCTTATTTATTTTCTCTTTTTGATCTTGATTCTGGCCTAGTTATTGCGATGATGGGCGGGGTTTCAAAATCCCCTTGCTTTTTTATCTTTATTTTCATGTTTTTAGTTTGTAAGATATGAATCTCATTTTTATTTTTCAAATTATCTTTTTCTTTCCCCTGGGAGATTTCCATTTTAAATGTCTACCTGGGTTTATGGTAAATGATCCGATAGCTGGTTGCTTAGGTAAAGTGAGTAAAGGTTCAGGTATCGAGGTACTCCCAACCTCGGTAAAATATATCTTACATTTTACTTACTATATCACCACATATATCTACCTACTTACCTAGGTAATGTACAAATAAAACAAACCTTCAGAGAACCCCTACATATCCTCAATAGATAAATAAAGACACAAATAGACACCTCGGAGTCTCAATCTTAGCTCCCCATATGTTTCAAAATCATCTTCAACCGCCTCACCGCAGGCCCGTCTTCCTCCTTTCCCAATCCACTACCCTCCCTCTCCCCTTCTTTCTTAGCTTCCATCTCCACCCTCGCAGCCTCCAACGCAGGCCTCAAATATCCCCACACCTCGTCATGGTACCGCTCGTCCACCGCAACCCAGTCCGCGGAGCCAGGAAGACTAGTTAATACCGTGTCCCGAAGGACCGTCGCATCTGAGTCGGTGGACGGAGCGGCGCTGTTCAGGATCGTGTCGATGTCCGGGACGAGGCTGTAGGGCGTTAAGCGGTGCGGGGGTTGGGTTTGTGATTGGGTGTTGGGTGGTAGCGACATCTCTCGTCGGAAGGAGTCGATCGTTTGGATTTCCTCCGCGGTGAGATGGGGTAAGGAGAGGTCGGTTTCGATGGGTTCGAAGGTTTCGTGTGGCAGGGGTGGGAATTCGGGGTCGAAGGTGCTGGAGGAGAGGAGGGATGTGACTGCGGCGCCATCGGTAGGGAGTGGTGAGTATGTTGCTTGCGGGGTGGGGTCTTGGGGGAAGGCGTTCTCGGCGGTGGTGTAGGGCCGCGTTGATGGGTTGATCTCTTTGGCTTTTCCTTTGCCTCTTTGGCTTTCGCGGATGTTTGAGTTTATCGTTGATTCTGATAACGGATCATCACAGTAGCTGGATTGGAACTCCTCCGAGGAGAGCGAAGGTAGAGCGAAACCGCCGACTTGCTGGCTTGTTGTAAGGGACGACCGAAACGTCTCCCCCGACGCACTTTGCTCAGAGAGCCCACGAGCAGAGGACGACGTCGGAGCCCCTGAATCATCGAATCGCTGTGCAGCAGACAACGCAGCCCTCGACGACGCCGAAGGTCCGGCCTTGCTACCGCTCCCACCGGCTAACAAGGTCGCCGCATCAGCCGAAGCCGAAGCCGAGGCAGAGAAGGCAGACCTCGCGAGCCCTGAGGCTGAATTGTGAATCCGACCGGCGAGCGACGAGCTGGGACCATTGTCGGCGGTGCTATCGGACGGATTGGTCGGGGTGTGGTCTGTGTTGTCTTTGTCGTTGCGCTGGTTTTGATTGTTGTAGGAGGTGCCCCGCTTCGGGTTATTTTCGTCGGTCATTGCGATGTTAGTTAGCTAGTAGGCGGAGGTGGGGAGTGGGGGAGTTTTATTGACAAATTGGCATTGGTGGGATTGAGGGGGTTAGGGAGAAGAGGATTGTAGAATTGTAGGAGTGAGTTATTTTCATGTCGTGTGCAAGGAAAGAGAGGGAGGTTATAGAACCGGGGAAGCTTCGGCCCAAGGGAGTGATCGCGGTCGGGAGGGGCAGGAACGACATGTGAAGAAAGAGAGCTAAGGATGGAAGAGACCTGAGCTCAGCTGGATAAGTGGGTAAATTGCTAAGTTCGAGCAGATTAGCCCTAAATGCATCATGATTCATAAATCAAAAGGGACAATGCGGTTGTGCCCGAGAACCGATCATTGATGTCGAGGTATACATCCAGCATGTACCTCATCGCGTCATTGGGCAGCGGTGATCTGGTCTGGTCGAGTTGTCATCTAGTTTTGGATGCTGTATGGTTATTTGGGGGGTCATCATCAATCAAGAGGGGAATTCAGACGATGCGGAACGATAAGATGAAGAAATAATCCGCAGAAGAAGTCAATCTGAAGGTTATCTGAAGTAAAGACCTTGGATCTACAGGTTGATCGAGATGATGGATGGATAGTGGTTGATGTCAGCGCTCCGTTGGCGGTGGGTTTTCCCGTTGGGTTTACGGGCAGCCACTCCTCCTCCCCTCTACCGCCTCACTCGTTCTCTCTCTCTCTCGCGCTCTCTCTTTCCCTGGTCTTTTTCTTTCCCCCCTCCTCTTCTTCTCCCCCCAACACTTCCCACCTTAACGAACCTCTTCTTAATCCCGTTCTCTCTTCCTCACCCAACAGACCCCCTCTGCTGTCTGTTGTCACCTCTGGTCTGTGGCTGTCGTCACTTACCTTCTTACCCTTTGTTTTGCTGAAGGGAAAAAATAAAAATTAAAAAAAAAGAAACCACGAAATTAATTAGAACCAAAAAATTGAGGGGGAAAATAACACCAGGATAGACCGAGAGGAACTTCCATTAATTACCTTTCACCCTCTCACCCTAACCTCCTTCCCTCTTTATCTTCCTCTCTTGCTCTCTCTCTTCCTCTCTATCCACCCGTCAACCCCTCATCGTCCACCATCGTCAGCCCGGGCTGTCAATCTTTTGTTTTCTCTAGCCTGTCGCCGACTGGAACCGGTCTCTGCCTTACTGGGTCTTGTCTGACGTCGTCTGCTTCCTTCCTCTTCCCCCCCCCCTCCCCCCCTCCATTCCATCCATCTCTCCTCTGGTGGGATCTTCATCCTCCCTCATCTCCACTCGCGAGGCCCGTCGACATTCCGAAAGCTTCTGTCTTTTTGCCGTCGCCTTCACCGCTCTACTTCCCTTTCCCATCGTCTTCGACCAACAAAAAATATTCATTCTTATCAACAAAGGGATCGTCCTTTGTATCGCTCGATCGCCATCCCGACCTCCCCGCCTCTCTCGTATCGCACGCCGCCTCTGCGTCCCTTGCAATTTGGTTGTCAATTGTCTGCCCCAGTCACAGGGTGGTCCGTGAAAGAAAATGGTAGACAAGGAACCGGGTTCGCCTACCTGGAAGTTCACGCAGTGAGTTTAGGCCCCCTCTGGGTTACGTGGTCTCGGTGGCACAGGGTTTTTGTCGTTGATGTCGATGGACCATCTTCTCTCGCTCCCGGCTCTCCCCGACGGTCCAGATCGTGTTGTTGCAAGCGAGATGCGGCTTTGGGGAGGATTTCCGATCGGGGAATTCTCGTTCTATCGTTCATCTGGCATACCTAGCTTGGGGACCCCACGGGTAACGGATACTGATACTAATGGAACGTGAAAACTAGGTGCTTCGGTGATAAGGGCGATGTGGAGGATATCACAGAAGGTGCGCACAATACCCCTCCATCCCACGGAGTCGAATCCCACGGATGATACTTTGTGCTCACCTGAACCCCCCCCCCCCCCCCCCCCACCCCATCCTGAATGTATTGTATCTAACGTTCCTTGTCTCTGTCAACAGCGGATATCATCTCAACCGTTGAGTTCGATCATACCGGAAATTATCTAGCCACGGGAGACAAGGGTGGGAGAGTAGTGCTGTTCGAGAGGAACGAAACGGTATTGATTTCCCAATGCAACCTCTTTCTTGTCCCTCCTCATATCGACCAGTTCTCTAACGCGCCGTGGTTAGAAAAAAACCTGCGAGTATAAGTTCCACACCGAATTTCAGTCGCACGAGCCGGAGTTCGATTATCTAAAATCCCTAGAGATCGAAGAGAAGATCAACAAAATAAAATGGTGTAGACGATCAAATGCATCCCATTTCCTCCTGTCGACTAATGATAAGACGATAAAGCTATGGAAGGTGTTCGACAAGTCGCTGAAGGTCGTTGCGGAAAACAACCTCTCCAGCGAGCTGACGCCCGCCGGCGTTGGTGGCGGAGGGGCACCCCGCGCGCCCCGTCAATCGTTCAAGGATCCTTCCCTGCTGAAGCTTCCTCGGATGACACACCATGATACCGTCGTGGCCGCCGTCCCCCGGAGGACATACGCTAATGCACACGCCTATCACATCAACAGTATCTCCGTCAACAGCGACGGGGAAACATTCATCAGTAGCGACGATCTGCGGGTGAACCTGTGGAACCTTAATATTCAAGATCAGAGCTTCAACATCGTCGATATCAAGCCGGCGAACATGGAGGAGCTGACGGAAGTGATCACGGCCGCCGAATTCCATCCCACCAGCTGCAATTGGTTCATGTATGCCAGTTCCAAGGGTACCATCAAGCTTGCCGACATGCGACAGCGGGCGTTGTGTGACGAGCACCATAAAAGTATGTTCCCTTCCATCTTCCCCATCTGCTCTTTCTAACTGCTGGATTAGTCTTCGAACAAGAAGAAGATGCCTCCTCCCGTTCCTTCTTTTCCGAAATCATCTCCTCCATCTCCGACGTGCGATTCTCGAATGACGGCCGATACATTGTGTCGCGAGACTACCTGACGGTCAAGATCTGGGATGTCAACATGGAGAGGCAACCAGTGAAGACCATCCCCATCCACGAACACCTGCGACCCCGCCTGTGCGACACGTACGAGAACGACAGCATCTTCGACAAGTTCGAGGTGGTCTTCTCGGGCGATGCCGAGAATGTTATGACCGGCAGTTACAACAACAACTTTATGATCTACCCCACCGAACAGAGCAAGGAGACGGAGATCGTGCTACAGGCAGACAAGTCGGCCTTCAAGGCGAAGAAGGTGGGCGTGCCGACGCCGATGAACAAGAACGCCAACGGGAAGAAGAACGGCTCTCGCGCTGGTAGCCCTGCCGGTCCTGGTAGCCGCATGAGGAAGGAGACCGATGCGGATCAGATCGACTTCAACAAGAAGATCCTGCACATGAGCTGGCATCCTTACGAAGATAGTATTGCCATTGCGGCCACCAACAACGTGAGTAGCGTCCGCTTCAGCTTTTAATCTGCCGACATGAATACTGACCGTTGCCACAGCTATTTGTCTTCTCTGCATTGTAAGTATGTTACAAGGATGGTTCATAATTATGGGCGGGTCGATGTTCAAATCCACGGGCGAGCATGGAACAAATTTTACAGAAACCATGAGGTCACTAGCAGCACCGCAGATTCACAATTCAAGTTGCAAATTCAAGTTCAAACTTCTTTTCTTTCCCCCTACGATACTCTTCTCTCCTCTGTTGGTGTTGGGTCCTGCGATCTTTGTCCGATTTGTTATGTCTTTGGTCATCTCTCTCTCTTCATTTTTCCCCGCCTTTCCCTTACCTTTCCATTCCTCTATCCTGTCTATTGGTTTATTGGTCCTTGATTTCTGTTGGAGAGGGAGGAGGCGTTTTATTGGGAAATCAAATAGAGAAAAAAGAGGCAGGGCCTCCAGAAGGCATCCATCTTCCTTTCCTTGCTCTCGATGCCGGTTTGCAGGGCGCGTCTCCCACGACGAGAACATTTGGGATTGTTTGCGTCACTCATGTTGCCGATGCCGTTGGTCCGTCTGTGTTGGGTTTCCTTTAGAGCAGGGGTATATTGCTGGGTTGAATCAGGTTGATGCAGCTGTCTATTGGCGCTATTCGGGTAGATAATGAAATGACGAGTTTCTCTGGTATGATAAACTACCGTAGTGATCCTGGATAGAAGCAACCAACCGGCAGCACCCGGTCAATGACGTGCACTTCCCGGGCCTTGCCGCCTTCCCGCCAGCCCAATCACCGCCCTCTGCGACAGTGCCGGCAGAAACTCGGAAAAACAAGGAAGCCGAGAGGCTACGCTAGGGATGCATTGGGGTTAGCGTAGACAAAGGCACTCTCCGCCTTCTGTCTGGAGACCATCCGTGATCGGTCGCGCGCAAACCATCATCGTCAACCAAGTCTGCTTGTCTGCTGGCTTTACTCTCCCTTTTCACCTCGCTCTCTTCTTCTCTCCCCGCTCCTTGGACCCTTGATACCCCAGCCCTTTGGCTTTGTCTTCTGTGGAGTTCCTTTCTGCGGCTGGCACAGTCTACCAAGTCCCAGTGATGTCGCTGTGAAATGACTTGGAGATAGAGAACTCTACCGTGCGAAAAGGATTACCAGATTCACAGCTTGGTTTTGGAGTCGTCCACCGCCCGCCACCCTTTTTCCACTCTCCGACCTCTCCCTCTTGGGACTCTCCTAGATCCTCCATTTTTGTGTTATCAGCGTCCCTATTTTAATTTCATGCACAAATCATGAACTCCTCTGGAAATGATAACTGGCACCCAGGTGGCCCTCCAGCGCACCCGGGGATGGACCAGATGAATCAACAGCCTCGCCCATTGGGCTCCTATGGGTAAGTGATAGCGACCCTGTCCCGTCTTTGTGTTTCAACGTCATGTTCAAGTCCATTCAGAAAACTGACTCGGTTATCCTGCGCCCGCTCTATAGACAAAACCCACCGCCTCAGCAAGGTCCGTCCGGTCAACCTGCGGGGCCCGTTCTTCCACCCCCAGCTGGTTAGCAAAAAACTCCCCCTTGGCTTCTTTGCGCTGTGGATAGCGTTCGATCGAGGATATTGTTTTGTTTTTGCTTCAGGTGACTAACCTGCTCCCGCTGTTGCTAGGCCCCTATCACCCGAGCCAACCAGCCAGTCACTCCCTGCCGGGGCTGGCGGAACTGAGCCAGAGCCACGCTGGTCCCCATCAGCCTACCCCATATGGCCAGCACCCCTCTGCCGCCTCCCATAGTGCCGGTCACTCGCTGCCAGGCATCGGCCAGGCAATGCAGCACCCGTCTCCTCAGACCATCAACCGAGAGCGGGAGCGCGACTCCAGAGAGCGCGAGTTGCTAGAGAGACACCGTCAGGAGGAGATGGCGCACAGAGAGCGCGAGCAGCGCGAACGCGAACAGATCGAAAGACAGCAGCTGGAGCGACAGCGCGAACAGCAGCATCACCCCGTGCAGAGCCACACCGGGTCGATTCCCTTACATCAGCCCGTCGCCTCGAAGGTGCCGAACTCGATTCACGGTCCCAATGGACTCCTGTCCAATCTGGGCTCCAACCCGCAGAACGGCCCTCAAGGCCCGATGCAGACGTCAGGGGCCCCTGGTTCAATTTATGGACCCCAGATGCAGCACGGCGAGGGCACTCCCAGGTCGTTTATGCAGCATCCTGCTGGTCCGCCTGGACAGCCTATGCTGGCTTTTAATACCTCCGGCCCTCAGATCCCGGGTAATGTGGCTGCACTTGCGCAAGGCCAACAGCCGATTTTGAATGTAAGTTCGCCCGAGTCACCCTCACGCAGTGATAGTTTCTGTCCCTGCTCATTGGTTTCCTTATTCGTGCAAGAAGAAAAACAAATGGGGGTCAGTGAATCTTGCTAATCCCATGTGCAGGATGCGCTTAGTTATCTGGATCAAGTCAAGGTTCGCTTTGTTGACCAGCCGGACGTGTACAACAGGTTTTTGGATATAATGAAAGACTTCAAGAGCCAAACGTAAGTATTGGCCATTGACAAGATGAGAAGAAAACTGTCTGACCAGTAGCAGCATCGACACTCCTGGTGTTATCCAGCGCGTTTCTTCATTGTTCAACGGACACCCAGCCCTCATCCAAGGGTTCAATACATTCCTGCCGCCCGGGTACCGAATTGAATGCGGGACCGAAGATAACCCAGACGCAATTCGAGTGACCACCCCCTCAGGGACAAATACTTTGAGTATGCCGCGGACTCGTCAATCAATGGAGGCGTCCGGGGAATTGGGACCGCCTAGTTCCATGGGACCTCACGGTCGCCCCGACTTCTTTGACCAATCTCGTCCTGGTTGGCAGCAACAACCCCAGCATCAACCGCCCCAGCAACCCCAGCAACAGCAGGGCAACATGGCAGGTTCGTATTCACCGGGATCGCGCATGATGGGACCTGGCATGTTCGGACAGCAGAACGGACAAAGTCACCCACAGGAACACCATTTTGAGTACCCCACACAGCAAGAGCAGCAGGCTGCCGCCGGTGCGGCGGCCATGGCTCATCAGCAAGATCAGCGTGGAGTATCGCAGCTTCAGGGCGCAGCCTCGGCTGCCTCTGCAGGTCTTGGACGTCCCGGATTGCTTCAGGTATCTCCTGCATCGGCTCAGAATTCTAGCTTGAACCAGCCCATGAATAGCCTAGCGGGCGTCGGTTCTGGCATGCTCCAGGGTTCCCAGGCCGATCTGAACAAACGCGGACCGGTCGAGTTCAACCACGCGATAAGTTACGTGAACAAGATCAAGGTTAGTCGGAGCGTTCCATGATTGGCACTGACAGCAGACCCCCAATTAATCCTTCGTGATATATAGAACCGCTTTTCGAGTGCCCCAGAGATTTACAAGCAATTTTTGGAAATACTCCAGACTTACCAGCGCGAGTCGAAACCGATACAGGACGTATACGCTCAGGTGACTCAGCTATTCAATACTGCCCCCGATCTCCTGGAGGATTTCAAGCAGTTTCTTCCCGAGTCCGCCGCTCACGCCAAACAGCAAGCCGCTGCGCGTCAAGCCGAGGAGGCTGCAGCCGCAGCCGCCGCAGCACCTATGAGCAATCTGCGTGGAGAAGGCAACTTTTCTGGTGGTGCAACTCTTCCTTCTCAGACACCCAATCGAGACGTCAAGATGCCTCCTCTGGGTCAGTTCAATGTGAAGGATTCGGGCAAAGAAGGCAAGAAACGTCGCGGGGGCCCTGGCGCTCCCACGGGAATGGGCTCCTCGGCTTCAGGACCCTCCGCAGCGACCGAAGCTGCACGCCTACCTGATGCTCAAGGAGGTCGAGCTCCGGCCATCCAGCCTGGTAATGCCAACAAGGTGAGTCATGATCGTGCAATGAATCTCATCTGGAATAATTCCATTTGTTTCCTGTTATTTGCCCGCAAAAAAAAAAAACCTTTCCTTTCGGAAAATCCCGGCGCCGCATTCACTCTAGTTCTTCATCTTGCTGTGAACTGGCACATGTACTGACCCTGCTTCGAAGCGAGCCAAGGTCCATCATCCCAAGACAGCCCAGGCAGACGCCCCTGCCGTCTCGCCAACTCTTGTTCCCGCCCTCCCTGAACCGATCCAGCCTACTTTCTCGTTGACTCCCAGCCAAGAGGAGTTTGCCTTCTTCGATCGTGTCAAGAAATACATTGGCAATAAACAGACCTTCAACGAGTTTCTCAAATTGTGCAACCTGTACTCTACCGACCTTATTGACCGCCACGTCCTGGTGAAGAGAGCCGCTGGTTACATTGGTTCCAACCCCGAGCTGATGGCATGGTTTAAACGCTTTATGCACGTTGACGAACCCGAGGACAAGATCATCGAGCCCAAGCCTAGGGTTGAGCCGGGTATTGTTAATTTGTCCCACTGCCGTTCCCTGGGACCTAGCTATCGTCTTCTGCCAAAACGCGAAAGACAAAAGCCATGCAGTGGCCGTGATCAGCTCTGCTACAGCGTCTTGAATGATGAGTGGGCTTCTCACCCTACGTGGGCCTCGGAAGACTCCGGCTTTGTGGCGCATCGCAAGAACCAATATGAAGATGCCTTGCACCGTATCGAGGAGGATCGCCACGACTATGACCACCACATCGAGGCGTGCACTCGCACAATCCAGCTGATCGAACCCATTGTTCAGCAGTTCCTGGTGATGTCCGAGGCGGAGAGGGCAGCTTTCAAACTCCCCCCTGGTCTGGGTGGGCAGAGTGAGGCGATCTACCAGCGCGTCATCAAGAAGATCTATGATCGACAGCGTGGCGAAAAGATCGTCCAAGAGATGTTCGAACGGCCTTGCCACGTGCTTCCCATCCTGCTGTTCCGTTTGAAGCAGAAGTCGGAGGAATGGAAGGCGAGTCAGCGTGAGTGGGACAAGATCTGGCGCGAGCAGATGCAGCGGGCCTACTGGCGCAGCTTAGACCACCAGGCCATTGCCAGCAAGGGCATCGACAAGAAACTTTTCGTGGCGAAACACCTGCAGAACGAGATACAGAGCAAGTTTGAGGAGGGCAAGAACCTCCGCAAGACCGGGTTCCAGGTTCCCAAGCATCAGTATGAGTTCACCTTTGACGACCCGGCCGTTCTGATCGATGCCACCCACTTGCTCCTGACCTTCATCGATCGCAACTCCGCTGGATTCGGAGCCGACCCACAGAAGGTCACCAACTTCATCAAGGACTTCATTCCCTTATTTTTCGGCATGGATCGGGAGTCGTTCCATCTGTACATGAACGAGGTCGCAAGCGGTACTTCTCCAATTGACGAGGGCGATGACGAAAGCCTGGCTGCGGAAGAAACCTCCACCCCGCGTATCCGCAAGCCTGTCAATGGCAAGAAGATCGACCTGCTCCGTGACGTCCTGGAGCGACGCAGCGAGAAAGCCAACCGCAGCGAGAAGGAGAGTGGCAGCGCCCCGGCCAGCCGCGACGGTACTCCGGACGCCGTTCTCATTCCGTCGACGCCCATCCCCGACCCCACCGAAACCTTCGACGTGGCGGAGCTCAAGTGGATGGAGCACCCCGGTCAGGGCAACTTCAACGTGAAGCGGGAATACACCTTGAACGAAACCTACGAGAAGAAGGTTCATCACTTGTACTCCAACCTGAACATCTTCTGCTTCTTCCGCACTTTCGAGATTCTCTACGCGCGCCTGCTTCGCATCAAGGTGCACGAGAAGGATGCCCACGAGGATGTCCGCCGTGCTCTGATGGCCAAGCCTGCGCAGGAGCTCAACCTGATCGACAAGATCCCCACCGACTTCTTCTACGACTGCGAGCCCACGGCCAACCTGTATTCCCAGGTGGTACGCATGTGCGAAGAGGTTATTAAGGGCGACCTGGAGCCGGTGCATTTGGAGGAGACTCTCCGCCGGTATTACCTGCGCAGCGGCTACCAGCTGTACAATCTGGAGAAGATGTTCACGGGTATCGCCAAGTTTGCCGGGGCTATCTTCAGCGGTGACGCCAAGGATCGCAGCTCGGACATCATCAACCTCTTTTTCAAGGAGCGCGAGAAGGAGCAGACCACGCACAACCAGGAGATCCAGTATCGTAAGCAGGTGGAGCGGCTGATCAAGGACGGAGACATTTTCCGTATCACTTTTGTAAGTGGCCACTTTTCACCCCCACTTGGTCCTTCGGAAGCTAATACCATAGTACAGAGCCCTACCAGCAAGAAGGCCTACATTCAGCTCCTGACTCCGGAAGACTCGACGTTGGAGAATGCCCAGTTGAGCCAGGAGGCTCGCTGGTCGTACTACGTCTCGGCCTACACCATGCGGGATCCCACGGAGGGAGTGCCGTTCTCGCAGATGCGCATGCCCTTCCTCAAGCGCAACCTGCCCGGCAAACTGGAGCAAGAGGAGGAGTACAACCGATTCTATCGGCCGTTGGTGCACCTGGACGGACTCATCATTCGCATCTGTGCCAACAGCTACCACATCCTCTACGAGCCCGGTAGCTACGACTGGTGGTGGCGGCCCATCGCGGCGTCGGACGAGTCGGGCGACGAAGCTGCCAAGGAGGCGGCGGCGGTCAAGGAGCGACGACGCGATCGGTTCACCGAGAAGTTCGTGAACAACCCCAGCTGGGCGCACGGGCTGAGCAAGGATCAGGTGGACGAGTCTAACCAGCGGTTCCGTTCCTGGGTCAAGGGGACGGAGACGGAGGGTGGTACCACCGCACCGGATGCGCCGACATCCGAGAAGCAGGAGGGCGCAGACCAGAAGGAAGATACGGAGATGGCAGACGCCGAGCCCGCCGCTTCGGAGACCAAGGAGCAGGTGTAAATCATCGGTCGTCGGGTCGAGTTTGTGGAGAATCAGCGGGGACAATATTATGAACCTTGAACAGTATTTTAGGAGTTTGATGGGATTTACACTTTTTCCCCCCCTTTTTTCTTTTCTACCAATGCACATTGGCGTCAGCTACCTTGCATTGTGATTTTACATTTTTGTCTATGTCTATGTCTTTGTCTTTTTCTTGGGGGTTATTTTCTTCCGTGACTTCTGGTTGTCGCAGTCAGACTGCCTGATCAGCAAGCACGATCATGTTTGCCACGAATGGGTTTGTTGGTTGATCGGATGATCCCCCTGGTTCCCCCAGCCTGGTCGGGCAGGTAGGAACCGAGAGGGCATTCGCAGGGAAATGGTGTCGGTATAGGATTGACCTGGGATGCGTTTTGTGTGTACTTGTACTCTAGGCAGGGTTGACACGATAAGTTTTTGACTTTATTTACTTTATTTACTTGATTTGATTTACATCGTATTTGTTTCTGTTTGGGTGAAAGCCCTAAAGTCAGTAGGCCGAGAGAAAAGCTCCGTGTGGCCGAAGCGGCATAACCGATACAGCCCGAGACTGCGCCGACACAGGGGCCAGACCCGGTTTTATCTCGGGGCTGCTGATCAGTCGTCGATTGAGTCGATTTGTACAACTATCTCGGTGTGACTGTCCCGGGGAGGAAATTATATGTAAAGACTCGATCGGTCTGATGTTGATACAGCATCAATGGCAACTTTTACGGAGTCCAGCGCAACGAACAAGTGTTGATCTCAGGGTGACGTCGAGACTTGAAGGTAAACGGGAATCCGAATTAACGCCGAGGTGACGTCACGGAGGGTCCTCTGGCCTTGGGCTCCCCTTCGCTTTGGGATTTTTCACTTCTGGGCAGTTTCACGCTGTCATCGCAGTGGAGAGAGGTGGGTGGGAAGTTACAGAGTAAGGGTCGTGGTGGACAATTCCATTGCTCTGTCTGGAAGAAAGCTCAAGAGTGCATTCACTATTCAGTAGGGGTAGCAATAGCAAGTAGATAGTGAAGATCTTCAAACCGGTAGCTCAACCAGCTCAACCAATACCGTCTGATCGATTGGAATCTTACAGTAACCAGACCCATCGCTCATCACCCATTCTTCCCTTCTTCCATTCTTCCGGATCGCTCTCTCCACTGGAAAAGCCGGGGACTGACTTCTCTCCGAGGCGGGGGGTCCTTATTTCTATCGCGGAGCTCCCCATCCGCACGTTTCCTTTTTCCTTTTTCTTTTGTCAGACACTCTCCCCTCTTTTCCCTCTCTCTCTCTCCCTTCTTGTATCTCTCTCTCTCTTTTCATCTTCCTCCCTCAATTTTCCTCTTTGTTCTACTTCTTTCCTCCCTTCATTGGTTTCTTCCTCACTCTCTCCCCCCTCACAATGTCGGCGTCTGCTCTCCTAAGGAGCCGTGTCAGACGGCCTTCCTACCTGAGCAAATTGGCCAAGGCTGAGGATCTTGTGGATCATTTCCCCCATGGCTCGTACATCGGCTGGTCCGGATTTACGGGTGTGGGTTACCCCAAGTACGTTTCCTTCCTGTGTGGTTGATAGCTCCAGCTCAATATTAACAATGACCAGGAAAGTTCCCACGGCGCTGGCCGACCACGTTGAGAAGAACAAGCTGGAAGGAAAACTGAAATATACCCTGTTCGTCGGCGCTTCGTCAGGTGCGGAGACCGAGAACCGCTGGGCCCGATTGAACATGATCGAGCGCCGCAGTCCGCATCAGGTCGGCAAGGAGATTGCCAAGGGCATCAACAATGGACAGATCAAGTTCTTCGATAAGCATCTGAGCATGTTCCCGTCGGACCTGGTCTACGGCTACTACACGTTAGATAAGCCGCGCAACAAGCTGGACGTGGCGGTCATTGAGGCTTCGGCCATCACCGAGGACGGCGGCATCATCCCCGGTGCGTCGGTGGGCGCGTCGCCCGAACTGGTGCAGATGGCCGACAAGGTCATCATCGAAGTCAACACGGCCAGTCCCTCGTTCGAGGGTCTGCACGACATCGCGCTGTCGGATCTGCCCCCCAACCGCAAGCCCTACCTCATCATGGCGCCCGAGGACCGCATCGGCACGCCGCACATTCCCGTCGACCCCGAGAAGGTCGTGGCCATCGTCGAGTCGGACTACCCCGACCAGACGCAGCCCAACGCTCCGGAAGACGCGGGCTCGCAGGCGATCGCCACCAACCTGATCGAGTTCCTGAAGCACGAGGTCAACCACGGGCGACTGCCCAAGAACCTGCTCCCGATCCAGTCGGGCATCGGCAACATCGCCAACGCAGTAATCGGCGGGCTCAGCAAGGGCGGCGCCGACTTCACGAACCTGAAGGTCTGGACCGAGGTGCTGCAGGACTCCTTCCTCGACCTGTTCGACAGCGGCAACCTCGACTTCGCCACGGCCACCTCCATCCGCTTCTCGCCCGACGGCTTCAAGCGCTTCTACGACAACTGGGAGCGCTACGCCGGCAAGCTCCTCCTGCGCTCCCAGCAGGTCTCCAACTCCCCCGAGATCATTCGCCGGCTGGGCTGCATCGGCATGAACACCCCCGTCGAGGTCGACATCTACGCCCACGCCAACTCCACCTGCGTCATGGGCTCGCGCATGCTGAACGGTCTCGGCGGATCCGCCGATTTCCTTCGCAGCTCCAAGTACAGCATCATGCACACGCCGTCCACGCGACCCAGCAAGACCGATCCCACCGGTGTCAGCTGCATCGTGCCGTTCTGTACGCACATTGACCAGACCGAGCACGATCTCGACGTGGTGGTTACGGAACAGGTACTGTCCTCCCCTTCCGTCTATCCCATATCACCCCAATACTAACAAGTGGAAAAACAGGGTCTCGCCGACGTCCGCGGTCTCTCCCCCCGTGAGCGTGCCCGCGTTATCATCAACAAATGCTCGCACCCCGACTACAAGCCCATCCTGACGGATTACCTGGACCGGGCGGAATTCGAGTGTCTGCGTAAGGGCATGGGTCATGAGCCGCATCTGCTGTTCCAGGCGTTCAAGATGCACCAGAGCTTGCAGGAGAAGGGAACAATGAAGATTAACAGTTGGGAGTAGAGTAGATCATCTAGATGGGATGTGGAACTAGATGATTAGACTATTGTTGGTACTGCAACGGTTGGATGGAAATATGGAGTCTTATAGGAATCATACATATCAAGTTAGTTAGTATTTATCACTTGATACTATTTTCGGTTTTCGGTTTAAATCAAGAAAGGCATTTCAATCCGATTGGATATCTATCTTATCGTATCGTATCATGTAGAACTGTGTGTATGTCCTGCTATTGCTATTCATCGATTCATCTACCCACCAGAATCAAGTGCCATAGTATATCTAGTATGCCATAGTTACCCACTACCAAGATACCCAGGTAGATAGATAAGCTACAAAACGAACAATATAATCTATTCAAGTCGTGATCGTTACTGCCAATAGGAATGTCAATATCAACATCACTAAAGCGACAGATGACGGACGGGTAGGGTAGATCCACATTCCTTCCCATCCCATCCCACGTCAGTTCACCCACCCACTCCATTCCGCCCAATCCACCAGATGAGGCATCTTCAGACGCGGAATGTTTCACACTCCACTTTTCAGATCTGACATTTGACATTCTCCGGATCAAGAAATCTGGATCTTCGCGTGTCGGATGGTAGATTCGAAGTGGAGAAAATGGGTTGAATATATCTGTATCTTTAAGAGCATGGACACGGGGAGTATGCCGATAGGTATTCTAGGGCAGTGTTCTGGATACCTATAGTTACCAGAGGATATGTAAGTGTCAGAGTAATACATATTATACATAGAGCCAGGTGCCAAAGCGAACGTTAAATGAATAAGAAATATATAAAATAAAGATAAAGATGAAGATAAATATATACCCAGAATGTTAAAAAAAAACATATATCCAACCTGCTAAAATAGAACGTAACAATAACCAAAAACAGAACAAAAAGTCAACCTGATTATCGTAACCCCGTTAGGTATGCATCCTCCTCTTCTTAGTCTTTCCCATCTTGCTGGTCATCCTCTCTCCTTTTCTCTCTCTAAGCAACCCAATCCAATGAATCAAAAGATCAATTACTCCGGTCGTTTATACCCACCCCCGAATATCCTATCCCTAGTTAGTATCTATTCATCCTACCACAGAACAAGGTAAGAAACTCACCGACTGTACAAAAACCCAAACAACCCCGACGACTCCTCGTTGCCGCGCTTCGCCCACCCAGAGTCCACGTTATATTGCTTTACATCTTGGAGACCGGCGAAGAGACCGCGGCCTGCTGTGGGGTGCTATTTCATTTGGTATGGTTAGTTGTGGATGGTCTATGAATGGAAGAGAAAATGGCTAAGTTGCTAGGTAGAGGAGGAGGTGGTCAAGGTAAAGGGAGTAGAGAGAGAGGGAGAGGGAGAGGGAGAGACATACACGATGAGGAGTGGCATTTTTCACCCAGAGGTCAGCGCCGTAGTCGTTTTGCAGACGGGCTTGGTTGGTGGTTTGGATGTCTTCTTTGGGCATTTTGAATGGCTTGTTCGAGTGGGACTTGTGGGTATAGTAGCGTGTGATATGTAGTATGCGTGGTGTGTTTAACCGAGGTCTGTATGTGTGTATATAGAACAATAAAAAGAAGTGTAGATGTAGTGAGAAGGATAAGTAAGTATATAGAACCCAATCAACAGAGTCTGCTGTATGTGTAGAATGTGTATGATAAACCAATATCTCTATAGCCACTCACCAGAACACACTTTATATACACCTCCCTCGCCTTTTCCCTTAACCTATTCTTCCCATATCAGACACTCCCATGACCACATCAAAGGCACATCCAGATCCGAATCGCATCACCTCACTTTTCTACGATCCAACCCGACCCCACTCCCTACCTGACCTGGTATCACCGCCCCCAGACCACGGTACATCGCTCGTGCCAGACCAAACGTATAGGGAGATTTACAGCGCAG